AAATAGTAAACTATTGTTGAAAAGTCTGCTGACAGTCTGATTACTTTCCTTTACAAATGACATCATCTTTTTGCCTATTCTTTATTTCTTTTTTTAAAGTTCATTTGTCTTACTCGAATATGTCTTGGTGTTATCCATTCCAGGTAGATTGTCCTAGGTATGCTCTATGCCATTTAAATACGCCAGTTTAAGTCTTCGTTGAGAAGTAGTTTCATGAATTAAAGGTTTTAGTATTAGCTTTGGGTTTCTTCAGGGAATCCCCTTATGCAGATATTGGTTTGTCTTTGCCTATCATCTATTTATATCTCTCACTTTCTAATTTTTTTTAATATTGTAGGACTGTTTCTAATGTCCACAAATTCTTTTATACTCCTTCCTTGAAGGGGTAGAACCTAATTTCCCTTATCTTGTGTGAGGGCAGGACTTAGTGACTTACTTTTAATGAATAGAATGTGATGGAATGGATGGTGAGTTACTAGGGCACCATAGGCCTCACAGCTTTCTCCTAGTTCTCACTCATGAATCATGTGCTCTTTTTGTGAGCTGCCATTTTGTGAGAACACATCAAACAGCCCTATGAAGAGGCCTGCAAGGGGTACCTTAGGAGAGGAGAGTGGGCCAGGACTGCTTCCCTAGCTCAGTGGCTATTCTGTTGTTACTAGAAAGAGTTAAACCTGGGCGCCTGGATGGCTCAGTCAGTGAAGTGTCTGCCTTTGGCTCAGGTCATGATCCCGGGGCCCTGGGATCAAGCCCCGCATCGGGGTCCCTGCTCAGCAGGGGGTCTGCTTCTCCCTCTCCCTCTGCCGCTCTCTCTCTCTCTGACAAATAAATAAATAAAATCTTAAAAAAATTGCCTTGTGCTTTTTCAAACTACCTTTTCTGCCTCCTCCCCCACTTTATCTGGATCTTCTCTTGCCTTTGCCCACAGTGTCTCTGTGCTGCTCTATTTAGATTCTACTCAGCAGACTCTCCTCTGAGAGGGACTTTGTTCTGCAAAGGAGATTCCATTGGTTAGTGCTGAGACTTAAGAGGGCCTAGACCATCCCATACAATGTAACCTTTCTTTTGCCTCCACCCTCAGGAATCCCTTTCCAGCTCTGGCACCGCTCCCCAAAAAGTTCAATTAGCTTTCAATGCCGAGTGGGAACATTTACATTTTGGGATAAATACCTTTGGCAGTTTGATTATGAGTTTGCTGGCACTCAGTGCCCCCAGAAATCCTTTCTTTGCCTGCTTTCGACTGTCTCCTTCCACTTGATGATATCATGTGGGTCTTGCTGCTGCCAGTTAATCAGCCCTCTCCTTGTACTTGGAAACTCACAGGATACCTTATTACTTTTATAGTAGGTCACCGTTGTGCATTTGTGGTGGTGATGGCTATTGTTGGAGGATTAGGTAGATTCAAAACAATACCACTTTACTCTTATACAGAAAATATCACATTTTTCATTTCTAGAAGTCCTTCTGTTCTCTGGATTTTCCCTTTCTTACATCTTCTGGTTCTTGGTTTATGGACCCTCCATCAACTCCTAACTCTCTAATAGTGATTTTTAAAAAATCTTTTAGTCTCCCTACATTGTCCTTATTTTCTCTAAGTTCCCTTTCTCTTCTTGTTTCTGCATCTCATTTGCATGTCAGTCTTCCCTCCACTATCTTGAGATGTTTGGCCCTCCAAGCATATATAGAATTTAGGCATATTTTCAGGAGCTCTGTGTATATATTTGGAACTTCTCAATCAGTGAGCATCTCTGTAATTGCTTGGCAGAGACAGATTTATGTAGTTGAGGGATGCTGCACAGTCAGTATTGGTTTCCCCAGATTGGTGTCCTCCCATATGCCACTTTGGGTTGGGGAAGTGGGGGATCAAGCTTGGTTGCCAGTGTATTCTTAGTGGAACTGAAGGGGGAGTAGGGAGGAGTCTCATGGTTCAATATACAGACCTTACTTAACTTCCCTATCCAATAAGGTACTCAAAACATGACCAATGTTTGAGTCCAGATCCTCTATGTTTCAACCTGTCCTGAAAATAAACTTTCTATCTTTTGCCAGGGTGGAGGAGAGGCCATCTCTTGTCTGCCCTGGTGTGAGAAATAAAATTTAATTGTTTAACCTCTCACAGATTGGGGCACCTGGCTGCTCAGTTGGCAGAGCGTGTAACTCTTGATTTTGGGTTTGTGGGTTTGGGCCCCATGTTGGGTGTAGAGATTACTTAAAAATAAAATCTTAAAAAAATAAAAACCAAAAAAAGGTCTTACAAATTTTTAACTAATCACTCTGTTTTCAGTCCACCCATACTCACCTCTTCCTTCAGAGTTACCTGGTACAATTATTGGTTCATTTACCAGTCTTTCGGGATACTGAATTTTTAAAAATTTGTTCCCCAACTCTTGCACACACTTAACTATAAAGTCAGTTCAATTCTTCTTATGCTCTCTAGATTCCAAAACTTTGCTGGCATCTATCCAGTTCTCTTTATCCTTAGAGATTTATGAAGTGGGTTTTTTTTAACCCCTTAATTATTATTTAAGTGGGGTTCAAAAGGATGCAGGCAAATACATGTTTACCTCTGCCACCCTCTTAATAAATTCTTTTTCTGCTTAAACTGAGAATAGTAATATTAACAATAATGCTAGAAATATATCTACAAATAGTGTGTTTTCTAGAGAAGAGTTCTGAATAGGGCTGAACTAAGTCCATCAGATATATAACTCAAGACACCATAATACTTTTTTAAACAATTACCTAGGATTTTTACTTTGTACTCAATAAAATATATTTTAAAAAATCATATCATACTTGTACACACGTAAGAAAAGTAAAATCAGAAATTAAGGTACTTCTAAAACTTCTTGCATTTAGTGTTCTAGTCCTCTGAGTCATATATCTAAAATGTGTAATTGTGTTAAAAAACCCACATTACATAAAATTTACCATCTTCACATTTTTTTTTAAAGATTTTATTTTAAAGCAATCTCTACACCCAACATGGGGCTTGAACCCACAACCCCAAGAGTTGCATGCTCCACTCACTGAGTCAGCCAGGTGCCCCCCATCTTAACCATTTTTAAGGGTACAGTTCAGTAGTTTTAAATATATTCACATTGTTGTGCTACCCATCTCCAGAACTTTGTCATCTCGTAAAACTGAAACTCTGTACCCATTAAACAACTCCCCATTTTCCCCTCCCCTCTACCTCTGGTAACCACCATTCTATTTTCTGTTTCTATGAATTTGACTAGGTTAGATCCCTCAAGTAAGTGGAATCATACTGCATTTGTCTTTTTGCGACTGGCTTATTTCACTTAGTATAATGTCTTCAAGGTTCATTCATGCTGTAACATGTGTCAGGACTCCCCCTTTAATGAAGCACATTTTGTGGAGAAAGAAAAATGCAATTCCCTTTAACAAGCAACAGTGGAAATATGATTCACTCTGAAACACTGGATCAGAAATGTTAAATAAGTGTTAAGCCCAAACCTGAGGATGGAAAAGAAAGAAAAGGCATTTCTCACTTTTGCAAAAATAAATAAAAACAGCTTAGATGCAAGAGAAACAACATGCCAAATATGTATTATCCTTGGGGTTTCATGGCAAATAACCTTATCTAGTGATAATATAGTAAATATAAAAAAATAACCGCTCAATTAATGTTGTTAAGTTGACTTGGAGTACCAGCCCTTAGTTTTCCCAAAGGGCTCTTAAATGAATGTGTCTGATCCTAGGAGAAGAGACAAAGCCCAGTTTTTAGCTGCTGTAGTCTGGTTGTTATGTTGTGATCTGCAAATTTCCCAATTCTGTTTCCAGGCTTTGCCTTCACACAGTAAAACCCAGCGCAGGGACAAGGGGAAAATGGAAGGTCTGTGTAAGCCTGAATTGGTACAGGAAGCTGGAGTACTTGTTCAAGTTTGTATATAGAGAGAAATTTCCTGAACACATATTGGAAAAAAAAAAAAAAAGATGTTTTTAGAGTGAGCATGGTAACCTACTACTCACCCACTGTAAGTTAAGCAACGTGCAAATGCTTTCTGCTTGACATTGACACGTCTGCCTTCCTTATATTTGGTCCTTTTCTATCTCCCTGGCTTCCTGTCTGTTGTTTCTTACCCTTGCCTTTCTCTTCTTTCTGCCTTCCCCCACCGAACTTCTGTTTGCTCTTCTGTCCCCTGAGTCCTGAGTCCTGCATCCTGGGTTGTGTCTTGCCTCCCCCGCCCCCTCTGGCCCTTCCCATTCTGCCTGCAAGGGCTCTCCTCTGCAGAGGACCTGGAGGGGCCTCCCAAGCTGGGTGGGGTTTCACTTGGCTAAATTACCACATCCTGGAGCACTATCCAGCAGTGTTTTCTTAAGACTTGGAAATTGAAGTCAGTGCAGTTAGTGGGGGGAAAAGTGAAACCATTTCGTGGGATGACACTCCAGAGAATGGCTCTGTGTTCATCTCTAAAAGGTGCAGTTGCATGACAATGACCATGGAGGTAAATCTTTGTTGTGGGGGAGGGCAGAGGACCAGCCAAAGGACAAAGACCCCTGAGGTGAGGGTGGAATCAGGATGGGACAGCCAGTGCTGCTGGTTGTGGCTAGGTTCATTGCCAGTGGTCTTTTTTTCTTTCCCACCTAACCCACTGACCTTGGTCAGCTGTGGGGCTGTAGCAGGAGGCTACTGTCTGGTTCCATTGCTGTCTGTTCCTGGGTAAACCTGGGCCACACCCTGCTCTAATTTGAAAAGAAAATGCAAAAAGAAAAAGATGCCCAATTGTGACTTCTAAAACAGTACTCCAGGTATTTTGAATATTCCACCTCCCTGGCATGGAGGTGGGCTCTCCAAGGTCATTTTTAGGAGCCCCTATGCAAAGGTTCTTGAGTCATTCTAGAATATAGTATTACAGAAGGACCTATTTAATAGGGAAGAAGCCATGAACAATGTAATTTCAAGAATACCTATTAGACTCTGTCCCAAGGACAGGATCTAAATTTTATTAACAAAAGCTAAAATTCCAAGAGGGAGTAGGGGATGGAGTAACTGGGTGATGGACATTAAGAGGGCACGGGATGTAATGAGCACTGGGTGTTGTAGAAGACTGATGAATCATTGAACTCTACCTCTGAAACTAATAATACACTACATGTTAATTAATTGGATTTTAATTTTGTTTAAATGCCAAAAAAAAAAAATCTAAAATTCCATTGATGTTTTATCCCCAGTTTAAGTATTCAACCCTCCCTTAAAATGTAAGCAAATCCCAGGAGGGACAATAGATTGACCCTTATGAATCTTTAGCCTCAAATCACAGCAGACCCATTCCTTACCTCCATCCCCTACATCTTTTGCGCCAGGTAAACCAGAATTCACTGCTGGAGCCAACCCTAGGCTTTTTCCAGCCTTCATTCCTGGAGACTTCTGAGCTTGTTTTTTCTACCTGGGACACTCTTCCCTCTCCTCTTTTTTTAGCTAACTCCCCAGGCTAAAAATCAGGCTCCAAATTTGTTCTCCAAGGCAGGCATAGTCCATTGGAGCCTTCCCTGACTATCTGGGTCCCTCCTCCCTGGCAGCCCTTACCCTGGGGTGTTCTCTGGCTTACAGGTTAAGCCTCCATCAAAGACAGGAGCTGTGTCTTGCTCCTTGTCGAATCTCCCATCTGGAACAGTATCCGACCCAGAGTAGGCTCTGCTTATGGAGTGAGTGAACGTTTTACTGCCAGTGTGTTTTTTGTGGGGTGGCAGAGGAGGGCTGGAGTGGAAAAGGGAAGATGCCAGGAGAAAAAGCAGCAATACGTGAAGAGAGGAGGCCGGGCTCACCGAAGGCAGACTCTTCTGGGTGACAGTTTTGCAAAGGGCCAGATAGTTGAGAGACATGCTAAAATCCTCCTTTACTGTCGTCCCTTAGAAGGTAACTGTAATTGACTGCTGAAATATCAAATGTATTGGCACATTTGATGCATTTGCCGGAGTGGTTTTAAATGACCTGTATCTCACACAATAGAATAGGGCAAAGTTAAAAACCAAGTTTGCTTTAGATTTGTATCTGCCACCATCTGTTGGTTCCCAGATCCTGGCTTACGTCATTCTTATTTTTACATTAAACATTACCAGTAATAAAAACAAAGGAAGGGGGGAAATAAAAACTCGTGTAGGGAAATTCTGATTTCACACAGGCTTGACAGTCTTTTTCTTCTCAGTAATCCTAGAAACAGAAAACAACAGGAAGATGTCTTACTGAGAAAGGCCCCCTTTAACTTCACCATGAGTCAAACACGGAAGAAAAATTCTTCAGATGGAGAAACTAAACCCCGGACTTCATTTGTCAACAAATTCCTCAGGGGCTCAAAACTTATGTCCTCCAAAGCTGAAAGCAGAAAAGAGAGCAATGACCTTGCAACAACTGATTTCCAACCCAGCAACGACGCACAGAAAACAGCCACTTTAGATACGGGTAAACTTCTGACTGCTGTTATTTCTTTACTTTTTTAGAGTAATGTTTTTCCCTACAGAGATCATATGGGTTAAACTAAACCTAATCTGAGTCTCTATTCTAAGCATTTACTGTGTGACTTAAATGCTTTAAATACTTGCCTAATTTGACTTTTAAATTATCAAAAGTAACACTACAGGAAGGTATAGAGAAAATACCTTGTTTCCTTTCATTCTAACACAAATGGTCATTTCTTCAAGATTCTTTTCAGTCTTTTGTTCATATGCATGCATTTACGGTCAGTCAGCCAGTCAACACTGACTGAGTACCTACTGTATGTCAGCTACTGTTGTAAGTGTTAGAAATGCAGCCACGAAAAACAGGACCTCATGTACACAAAGAACCGAATGCAGACATAATTTCAGTGTGATAAGTAATAGGAAGAAAAATAAAGCAGGCTAAGGAGACAGAGGATGGATGGGGTCCTACTCTAGGTGGGGTTGCAAGGAAGGAGTCTCTGATTTGGTGGCATTTGAGCAGAGATCTGAATAAAGTAAGCCAAGTAGAATGAATGAATCAAGCCAGTCCCATGGATGTCTATGGCAATGGCTTCCCAGGCAAAGGGAACCGTAAATGCAAAGGCCCGAGGTGGGACTGGGCCTGGCATGCTTGAGAGTGAGCCCAAGGTCAGGGGTGCTGAAGCAAGATGAGAGAGGAGAGAGGACAAGAGCAGTAGAACAGTCACCCACCCCCCAGGGGTTCCTGGGGGCCAGAGTGGGCATCTTTTGTAGTTATAATAGCTTACAAATCCCTCTTGAGCTTACACAGAGCTGATATCCTACTTCTGGAACATATGATTATATTGCTCAGTCCCCACATGGCAGACATACATAAAATGATGTTCGTATGCCTAATTTTAACAGCTGCATAATATTCTATCCAGGCATATGCCATAATTACTTAAGTTCCTTTTTTGCCCTTCAGTGAATATTTTTATTTTTCCCTCTTGCTTATTCCCAGCTTCATTGTATTTCAGCCTTTTTCTTAGAACAGAGATTAAAAATTCAAGGGTTATGAAAATAAATATTGGCAGGTCTCTCCCCAAAGCTATGTGTCATACACAATGCCATTAATATAGTATCTATTAGATTAAATGTATTTTTTAAACATCTATATACACAGAAGTAGAGAGAACAGTCTAAGAACTCCCCATGATCACTTCCCTCTAACAATTATCAACCCGTGGCCAATCTTGATTCATTTATACCTACCCTCAATTCTATCAGATTATTTGTATCAAATACCAAAAATAGTATCATTTTATGTGAAAGCAGATTAAGTATCTTTTTAAATCTATTTTGGAAATAGGAAGTTAAAGTCTACTTTTTAAAAAAAGGACAACCTCTATCAGAAAATTGTTGATACTTGTTCTAAAGTAGGAATTGAACCTTCAGGAACATGGCTCATGAATACCTGTAACCATGATGAAATTAACAGTGCAAGGCTAGGCACTGGTTATCCCGGCTGGGCAACACTGGCCCCTCAACCTTGCATGGCTTCTCCATTTCCATAATTCAGTGGCTCCTGGAGTCATGTCAATTCTGCCCCCAAAATGGCTCTCAGACCTGGTTCCTCTTCTCCGTTGCTGTTCTGGCTTTCATTGTTTTTTGACCGGACCACTGGGCCAGCTTCCTAATTGGTTTCTCTACTTCTAGTCTGGCTTTCTTGCCAACTTGTCCTCCACAGTGCCATGGGGTGCTCTTTCTAAATCACAGACATGATGTCTTTCGCCTGCTTAAAATCTTTCCCTGAGTCTTTCTTGCCTTGAAAAGAAAGTCTACACTCCCAAGCATGGTCTTCAAGGTATTTGTGATCAGATGGATCTCTCTTCATGACCTCTGCCTTCCCCCAACCTCATGTTCATCCTCGACTCCTGAAATTCAGATTCACTTGCAGTTTCCTGAACTGGCCATATTCTTCCAAAAGGGTTCCCTGGGCTTATAAAGACCTTCCTTTGTGTCACCATGCTCCTTCTGCACCCCTCCCCCATTTATTCCTCCTTCCTCTCCACCCACCTGCCTGACGATTGCTCACCCTTAAGGTGCAATTCATGTACCCCTTTCTCTTGAAAGCTTGCCAAGACCTGCCCATGGGACCTGAGGTGCTTATTGTCACTACCATGTGTTCTCATGCACCCTCCACATGCCTCCATCATTGCACGTCTCCTCTGTACTGTAAGCATGGCTTTCGTGTCTGTCTCTTCCATTAGACAGGTAGCTCCTTGAAAACAGGAACTTGTTATCTTGGTTCCCTGTACAGCTCCACCCATGTTACAAACATGTAATCATGTTTTATGAAACCACTGGGATTCTTGGTTGTTTATAACCAAGAAACCAACCCTTAGAACTTTAGGTTAGAAAAGAACTTAATGTGAAGATACTGCTTAGCTCATAGAATCCCGTGGAGAAGGCAGAAGCTCAGTTCAGCAGTAAAGCAGCCAGGAAAAGGCCCTGAGTCACTCCACAGAATTGCTCACGTGTGATAACTTTGTCCTCTTCATGATGTGCCCATCATCCTACCTCAGCCAATGGGTAGCAACTCTGACTCAACTGTTTTATGTCTTGAGCTGTGATATAAGCTATCCTTTGAAGAAAGGGTTTTATGTATTTAAAAAAATTGAAATATGTGGCCTGTAAGGACATGTCCAGGGATCTCATAAATTGGTACTCATATTTATACTTAGGCATTTGATAAAGATTTGCCATGTTGATTTATTTTGGTCATTAAGGAGCTTTAAAGCTAATATTCCTTCCTTCCTTCCTTCCTTCCTTCCTTCCTTCCTTCCTTCTTTCCTTCCTTCCTTCCTTCAATTATCTGTGCATTCAACAAATATTTACAGAATACCTCTCATATAAAAGACACTGCAGAGTCCCATCTCCCTGGGAGGCCCCAATAAATGAGAAGTGAACCAGGCAGGAATTATAATCTCTACTTTATAGATGAGTAAACCAAGGCTCAAAGAAGTTCAGTGACTTGCTCACCTGAGGGACCCGTGATTTGAACCAGGTCTTCCACTTATGCTGTCTTAGCCTTGCCAGTCCTATCAAACATTACGGAGGACCCAAGTAGGATGCGGTCTGAGAAGAGATTCCTTGATCTGTCAATTGGTAGGTCACTGCTGGTGACCTTTGAGAATGTGAATGTGGTCACCAGAACATAGAGGGTTAATTGGCAAATGTGGTGAATTGGGACCAGCAAGTACAAACCACCCTTTCCAAACAGATGACAGTAATCATTTCCTAATGATAGACAAAACAGTGGCTTGAGAAAACAAAGAAGCTTTTGTGAGGCTGGAACTTGAGCATGATTGTAAGTTGAGCCTATGGAGATAAAAAGTTCAAAAAGAGAAGGGAGAAAGCATCAGATAGCATGCAGAGAGATTTTTTTAACACAAAAATTCAAAAACATACACATATATATAATGGGTTTTGGAGCAGACTGTTCTGGGTTCAAATTCTGACTCTGCTACTTAATAATTGACAGTCTCTCTGTGTCTCAGGTTCCAAACTTATGAAATAGTGCGATTGTGTCTCCTTGCATGAAGTTTACACAAAATGTCCTGACACATAAGAGTTAGTCCCTCTGCACCCCCCACCCACCATTCTCTTCTGCTCCACCCAAAATTAGAGTTGCCAGATAAAATACATGCAATATTTGGGATATAGTTTTACTAAGTAATGATTCCTTGTTTACTTGAAGTTTAAATTTAATTGGACAGGCTGTTTTTGTTTTTCCTAAATCTGGCAACCCTACCCAAAATGAAATACGTTTTATTTACCAGTGCATGATACAAGTGGAAGACCAGAATGGGAAGAGGTAAAATGGTGGTTGGTGCTGTCTCCTACTGGCGGAATGTGGCAACACCAGCCATCCCTGCAAAGATGTACACCCCATGGGCGTCAGGGCGTGTTTTCTTAAAAATAGCCAGCCACCAGACACACCGCGGAGGAGAGGTTGAGTTTGTATTACTCTCCTAATATTTAAGTCTAAGTTGATTACTACTGAAATCCTACTATTAATTTTCACTGGTACCAGTATATTTCTTTTTAGCGATGTGGTTTTATACTTTGGAAGGTATAGTAGAATATCACTGCATATTTGGAACTTAACACTTTCATGTTGGATTCCAGTATACTCTTTTTATATGTTTTAAATTGTACATTTTCATCTACAAAACCTCCTTAAAGTCACTGTCAGTACCTGCATATTCGTTTCTCCTTACAAAAGTATGATGTGTTTTTTTGTTTTTGTTTTTGTTTTTTTGTTGTTTTTTTAAAGATTTTATTTATTTATTTGAGACAGAGAGAATGAGATAGAGAGAGCATGAGAGGGAGGAGGGTCAGAGGGAGAAGCAGACTCCCTGCCGAGCCGGGAGCCCGATGCGGGACTCGATCCCGGGACTCCAGGATCATGACCTGAGCCGTCGCTTAACCAACTGAGCCACCCAGGCGCCCAAAAGTATGATGTGTTTTATATGTGTCTTAAATGCTGGCACATACTGGGACATAATAGGTGTTCAATAAAAGTAAAGCTTTTCTTATTTTAGTGTTCGCATGTTAGCACAGCGTTAGTACAGAGGAACTTGATGAGGGTGCCATGTAAGTGGTCTCTAATAACAAGAAGGATAAACGGGGCTTTCTGAGCATATTCTCTGGCAGGGGTGGAGACAAGCTCTCCCCGGCACTCCCCTCTCTGGATCTGTCAACTGAATGGTCTAGGAGACGAGCAGTGTTTCATTAGCTCCTAGTAGGCAACTGAAGCTCCCAGCCGGGTGACAACGCTTCCCCTTCTTCACCTGTTTGGTCAAATACCTGTGCTCCCCACCTGGCGTGCACCCGGCTGTGTGTCCCTCAGCAGCGCTCGGCTTAAACGCTGTGCTAACAAGTTCGCCACTTCGTTCAGGAAGACAACACTTTCTACACGCTGAGAACCCTGTCAGGCCGTGAAAGAAGAGCCCCTGAGTGCCTCAGTTTCATTGCTAAGAAGAGGGTCACTGGAGCGATCAGTGTCCAGCACCTGGAGGCAGGACAGCGGTCAAGTTCTGTCTCTGGTAAATGTTTCCCCTTCAGGGTTGAGGCTTCACAAAGGACCTGCTCAGGATTGTTGTTAGTCTGTTGACTTGTCTTACTGCGATCACTGTGCATCTTTAACACGATCTGTCATTCACGCAAGTTCTTCTTTATTCTTATAATGTAGCTCAGCCTCTCACTTCAGACGAGGAATGGGGATCCAGGATGGAGAAAAATGAGCAGTTCCTGCAGAAGCTGGGCAGAACGGCTGTGGACAAGTGTCTAGATCTGAATAACTGCAGACTAACGGCAGCGGACGTGAGGGAAGTGGGTCTGTATGCAGTTGACTTCGCACGGAGGGCCACGGGAGCCCTCAGGTTGAGATGAGCAGGCAAAACACGCTCATTACTCACCTGGCAACCCAAGGTCTCAGGGTGGCCCCAGACAACTCAGGAATAGCAGCTGTACCACTAAAACAAACAAACAAACAAAAAAACAAAAAACAAGTTAATTGATCCTTCTTCAAACTTCAAAGATTTGAGCTGAGTTTAGGAGGAAGGTTCATTTGTCTGTTTGTTCTTCCCAAGCATTTTACCTCCCTACTGATGGCTCCTTACTCCCTGAAAAACATTTGTCTTGCACACAATATGAGATATAAACTCGTGCAACTCATCCATTAAGCTGAGCCCCGCTGGGAATGTAACGGGGTGTTGTGCTCAGTTGTCTGTGGAATGAAAGAGGAACTACCAGCAATTATTGCTTACAACTTGTGTACTCAACAGCGTAATCACCACTTGTCACACGTAAGCGGGCGTCTGGTTGTGAAGACGCCCCTCCCCACACAACTATTACCACCTTTCTTTTCTCTTTTTCTCAGAGACCTTAAGTCGAGTCTTTCATCAAACTAGATGTGTCTACCAGCACAGAGGTATCAAAAAAACTGAATCGGGAGTGAGGGGTCCTTGACTATTTTAATTAAAATCCATGCCACTGTATTTTGGACAATTCTCTGAAGAGAGAACCCTAACCGTGTCTGTGTTTCCAGATACCTGTGTGTCAGAATCACTAGCAGAGCTCGTGTTCACTGCAGCTCAACCCAAGCCCACCAACTTGGAGTCTCTGAGAGCGGGCCCCAGCAATATGGTTTTTAATTTTTTTTTTCCTTCTTAATGTGTTCAAAAGACTTTCAGGCTTGATAAAGTTAGGATTTTGGCGAACAAGTTGAAATTGAAGGCTAGTAAAAAACCAAAAAGCAAAAACAATTTCACTCCTAATCATGGGCTCAGAATTTTGGACGCAGCTGTGTCTGTAACTGTAAAAGCTCAGCTTGCTACTTCTGACGGCTGCCCTTACCTTCAAGACAGAGATTTAAAAGCAAACAAAGATTTTTCATCCACTCTTCGTTGGCATTTCCACCCTTGAGTCTTGTTGCTTCAGGAGATAAAGATGGCCTTAGCAAATCTTTTTTCACAGACAGTAAGGTCACTTAATGGGCGATGGCAGATACTCAGAGAAGGTTCCGGACAGGCTTTGTGCCTGTCTAAACCTCTACATGTTGGTCTATTTACATATAATGGGAGCTTTTTAAGGTGATGATACCCAGGTAAACAAGATATAAAAGAAAGGGTAACAGGTACCCTCAATCTCAGCAATCCTGGCCAACAGAGAGTCCTCTGGCTTTCAGCCCGAGGGTCCAATAGGATGAAGGGGTGAGGAATTATTTTTGCAAAATAAAGGGCTAGTATACATATCACAGTGGCAGTGGTAGTAACAGTAGAATTACCATTTCTGCTACAATAAAGGAGCTCCTATGAAATCTTATGAAGATACCACTCCATTTTTGGAGTGCATTTATTTGGCAGAAATAGAAAATATCCTAGGAAATAGGAAATATAAAGGTCACATTCTCCCCAGTTGCATGGCTGAGGGATCCCTGCTTTGCTGAAAGCCAATACATCCACCCCTCCCTTCTTACAGTGCAATAGGCATTGGATCCTATTTACTACCAGTCGCACATTACATATGCAAATCTGTATATCCTCTTGTTCTTTTCCAGTTGCTTTGCTGCCTTTTCTCCCAGACTTGGAAAAACTGGATATTTCCTGGAATGATTCTGTAGGTGGAAACCTCCATTCAATCACCCAGCAAATGCATCTCGTCAGCAAGTTAAAAATCCTGAGGCTGGGAAGTTGCAGACTTACCATGGATGATGTTCGAGCCCTGGGTATGATGAATGCTTCACTGGAAGCAGCTTTGAAGTGTCAAGGGCAAACTATCTGGGTCACACCCCCTCGGGTGCTCATGGATGAGAGCACATGGATGATGGAATGCCATGCTGAGCACTTGCATAACTTCTAAAAGGCTACACAGCCTGTACCTACTAGCACTGTGGTAAGCCCCAGGATAGAGAAGGGAACAAGGCTGGCCAGATAGATACCTGCTCTCATGGAATTTAAATGGAGATAATTTGTCAAATTTGCTTACTCTCAGTCTGTTACTCGTCTGTAAAATTAAGGAGTTGGGGTAAGTAATGATTATTTTCCAATTCCAAAATAATCTCTTCTATTTTTCCACTCCCATTTTAAAAAATGGATCAAAACAAGATATTTAAATTAAAAGCAATGGTTTAAATAGAACTAGAACCTCAATTAATTTATATACTGAACATAGAATTTAGGATAAAATTTGTCATGCTACTAATCCAACTCTTTACTATGATCCTTGATGGTTTTAGATGCCATTCATATTTTTTAAAGTCCTTTTGGTCTGAAGTTTCTTATTTCAGTGATTATTTTGGTCATTTACATCTTGGCAAACATTTCTGTAAAAACAACACAACTTATGTCAAATGTCTTCTCTCTGATCTCTCTGTAGAAAATCAGGATCCGTTTATGCCCCCTGGCCTTCCTGTAGCTGAGGAGAAACACCATACATCTCAGAGCCAGGTCTCAGTTCAAATTCTATCCCTACTTCTAACTAGCTTTGTGACGATGGACAATTATTTAAACTTCGTAAGCCTCAGCTTTCTTATCTCTGAAATAAGTTTGATATCCACCTCAAAAAACTACTGTGAGGATTAAATAATTTCTGTGACGCACTTACTACATGCCTGGCACATAGTACGTGCTCAGTAATTTAGCACAGTTCCTCCTTTCACTACTCCCACTGAAATTAACTTTCAGTGGTTTTATGTGACCAGTTGAGCCCCACTGGTTAGCAGCTGGTTATTGTGTAGTGGAGTTGCAAATTTAACTCACTGCTACTCAGGGGTGAAAAGAAAATGTAGTTTCTTTATTTCCTATGATTAATCTAAATTTTGTTCATGGTCTTCCATCCTTAAAAAATGGGGAAGTGGGGACGCCTGGTTGGCTCAGTCGTTAAGTCCTGGGATGGAGCCCCGCATCGGGCTCCCTGATCAGCAGGGAGCCTGCTTCTCCCTCTCCCACTCCCCCTGGTTGTGTTCCCTCTCTCGCTGTCTCTCTCTGTCTGTCAAATAAATATATAAATAAAAATCTTAAAAAAAAAAAAAAAGAAGAAATGGGGAAATGGAATTTCTCTCCTGGGACTCACTCCAAACTTATCCGGTTCAGGAGAGAGTCTGCATCTTTGGTGCTGTGATGTTTTGTAACCTGCTCCCTCTCCCAGACTCCCTCTCCACTCTGGAAGGGCTTCTGCATCTTCTCCATCAGAAGGGACTTTCCTTAGCATTGATGGCAGATGGGGTACAGGGAGAATAAATGGCTTAATGAAAAGAGACCATAAATCAGGAGGCATTCCAACATTATTATACCTGTTACAACTGCTGAGTGTGGGATGACAGAAGCATGGCTCCCCAGTACCATGTGCACTGCAGACATGGCTGATCAGTCATGTACTCTCTGTCGCTGAAGCTGAGGAGTGCTTCAGGGCTATCGAAAGCCACCCCAACTGACTGGTGATGGCACACAAAATGGCACCTGTGCTGGGAGAACATGCATTTTAACGTGAGGCTCCTGGACTCCCGAAACCTCAGTCCTCACAATGAATAGCCAATGGCAGAAGTCCACGTCCAGTAGTGGACCATGGAGGAGAGGCTTCTAGACACAGGGGACTTTCCAGTACTCTTAACGCTTCGGTGTTGAGATCGACTCTGCACATTGCGTAAGTGCATTTTCCATGTGTGTGCCTCTCCGCCCTGTTCTCCCCAAGGCAGTGGAAGTCATTCCTAAGGCTGATTTCCCTGGTGACTTCCCTGTTCTCGCCCAGCCTCCGTTCTAGCCCTCGGTTGCTTTCCTCTGCTGAAGGGTTTCAGAAATGTGAAGTTCCACCCCTTTCTCACTGCACCCTCCTCTACCCTCCAAGGCTGCGTGGCTGTTATGAGCCGCTAGCGCCTTCTGCTTTATTACTAGTTCTCTGGAGGGCTCGGTTCAGTTGTACGTGATATTCTTGATGTCAAAGTGAGCTTTACCCCCGTGGCGGCCAGGGCTCTGCGTGGCCTCACCTCATCCTCTGGTCCAGCTTCCCAGTGATGCTGACCCCAGACAAGGTGGGCGAGAGAAAGGAGTTGGAATAGTACATGTATTTACTACCATAAAAACAACTCTGTGAAACCACCCTACTGACAGGTGGGGTTTTCTTGACAATAATTTTTGTACAGAGGCATGGCTTCTGAACCTTGGAGGGTCTAGAATTGCTGTGCCTGTAAATACAGGGGCTTAGCCTGCTGGGAGCGGGCGGTAACTGGGTCTGCTCTGTTCCTCGGCACCTGACCAGTCCCTGGCCCAGCCATTATCATTCCATAAATCACGCTTGTGCTGATTTCGAGGTGGATTCCCTGCTTTGTGGATTAGCAGTCGACCCCATCTTCGGGCTCTTTTGTAACAGGAGAAGCACTCGAGGTGATACTTGAACTGAAAGAGCTGAACTTGTCCTGGAACAGTGAAGTGGGAGGAAATTTGCCTCTGACCCTCCAGAAGTTCCAAGAAGGGAGCAAGATACAAACACTTGAGCTTGTGGATTGTGACCTCACATCTGAAGATGGGGCATTTGTGGGTAAGTGGAAATCGGAAGGGTCCTTCCCAGAATATAAATGTGAAGATACCCACAAGCAGACAGCCTGAGAGTCAAAGGGTCAAAGTTGGCTGTGCTTTGTTTCACCCTGAATGGGAGGAGTGGCTCACTATAGCCCCGGGGTCACATGAGGCTGCCCTCCCTTTCCTGCCCCAACATTCACAACCTGGGTTTTTACTGAGTTGCTCTTCTCATTTGGATTCACTTCCTTCCCTCTAGGTCAGTTGCTACCCATGATGCAAAATCTCGAAGTCCTTGATCTTTCCATTAACAGAAACATTGGTGCCAGTCTGAACAGTATTGCTCAGGGATTAAAAAGTACCTCAAATCTGAAAGTACTGAAGTTACACTCATGTGGACTATCACAAGAGAGTGTCAAACTACTGGGTGAGTTAGCAGTGACTGGGGTTTTTACATACACATGTAATTTTAGTTTATATTTAATTTTTTAAGGTGTTAGGAAATTCAACAAAATATACACAGTGGTTATGTTGGGGAATGAGATTATAGGTAATTTAAATCTTCTTTGTTTTATCCTTTTCAGAGTCTTTTACAGTAAGCACATACTTTCATGATTCTAAAAATAACCTCTTAAAATGGCTGCCTCTGAAAAGGCCAGGATATTCTGGGTTTGAGATAGACACTGGGCAAAAGAAAAGTTATGTGGTACAAAAGCTCTCCATTTTTCTCTTACTTCTGAAAATGTCAGCATTATTTTATGCTCAGTAGTAGGAAGGAATTGGTACTGATAAAAAGAATAGCTCCAGTGGCATCTGTGGGGAGAACATGACATGAAATTGTGTGTTCCCCTTTGACTTACAGAGTCTATAATATCCTTCTCACTGGCAGTTTGAGGAAGTCTAGAATTCTGTGAAATGCCAATGCCTCCAGTGTAGGAGGAGGAGAACCATCCGTTGCAGGGTTCCACCAAAGCCATTGGCAGTCAACGCAGATCACGGGGTGCTGGGGGTGGGGTGTTTGAAGCCATGGTCAAGTCCAAAGAGGGCCAGATGGCAGGGAGTCTAAAGTTACTCCTCTGTCTTGGCTTTTCCCAACCCAGTGTATTTTCTCCATCTCCCTTCTGCACACCTGCCCCCTCCCCTGTTCCACACCTGCCTTCCACCTTCTAACCTGTCAGAATGGGACTTTTGACTTTCTTTGTAGATGCTGCTTTTAGGTCCTTGTGTGAACTGAAGAAATTAGACCTTTCCTGCAACAGGGAGCTGGGTGGGGGTTTTGAAGACTCATCAGCTCAGCTGGCCACGTTGGAGCATCTAGAAGTTTTGGATCTTCACCAGTGCTCGCTAACGGCAGATGATGTGATGTCACTGAGTAAGTGTGAACGATAGAGCCAAGGAAGGACTTTTGGAACCTCAGTATATGTTTGGAACTTGGCAAATTTGAGGTGTCCCCTGAAACTTACTTAAACTTAACCAAAAGCATCAAACCATAAAAGTTCTGTGAATGCCCCAATATTGTATTTGGCATATATTACGTGCCCAGTAAATGTTAGTGAATCTAAATTCCTCCTATACATGTTTGTAAATGATGGATGTGGCACTTGGTGGAGAACATTTTGAATATATGTTACTGTTTAGAAATGACTCTGTTAGTCACAAAGTTTGTTTCAAACAGGGATGTAGAGAGAAAGCCAAACAAAGGGCGTTGAGGCTTACTGACTAACAAGTGAAGTCAAGCCCCTTAGATACAAATGAAATTACAGAAGAATTTAGGGTGGTGCATCACAGGTGTATATTTTACCTTTAGGTGCCTACGCTTAACTTCCCACTGTAGGCATAATCCTGTAATTATAAAACGTAATGTATAAATGCAGTTTCCCATAACAAGCAGTGTAAGTGCAGCCTTGCCATTAAGGATTTTACTCCATCTGTGGCCACAGTAAACTTTCAAAATACCTCCAGGATCTCACCACAGCTCACCATCTAGACCTTTACCACCCTGGTTCAGGCTACTGTCATCTCGTGCCCAGATTATTACGAGTCCAAATGGTCTTACTGTTCCTCCTCTGTCGTTCTGACTTCGTTCCCTAGCCTTCCCCTCCTGGACTCCACACCAGCCACTTGTCTGGGCTGACCCTCTGTCCCTGGGGCCTTTGTCCTTGCTCCCTCTCCAGATCATGGGCCCCTCCTGTGTTGGGAGCCCCTTCAGCATCTCTCCTTTGTTCAGGTACGGGGGTTGGTACATAGTTGGCACCCAGGAAATGATTGTTGAATATGATCGAATGAATGAATCAATTAAGAACAAGAATAAAAAGAATTTTTTAGTTGTTTTTAGTACAATTTGGGAAGGAAAAGAGTAAAATAGGTTCTTAGGTCTAACATCTGTATTTTAGACCTGCTAAATTACATTTGGGACTCATGCCTCAATTTGGAAAACAGAAAAGTTCAAGGCTTTCATAAGGATTTTAAAGGAACAAAACAATCCGTTTCTGAGCTCCAGGTGGAGCGTATGGGGTATCACCATCCCCTTTACTTCTGAGCATCATACCTAGAGGAAACACTCTTGGATTATCAGCGAGCAGATTCCAAAGAATGAATTTCCCTTGGTACAACGGAGTAACATGAATATCACCTCTCATCTTGTTACTCAGAGGAAGGTTCCAGGGCCAGAGGGACCTCAACTGTTACCAATAGCCTAAGAGGGGGATCAGCTTCTCTTACCAGATTCACCACCACCAACATGGGTGAAAGGCCCTGGAAAGCTCATGATTTATTTAAGAACTGTAGCAAATTGCATCGTTCTACTGCCTAATTTTGAAAAGATGGAAATGAAAATACATTCCGTTTATACCTTAGGAGGCTAAATAACTCACCATTCTTTTATCTGATCATTCTAGATAGCTCCAAAGAAATGGAATTACAGATTGTTTAGCCAACAACTTTTGATTAACCATCTAGTTGTACGAGGCACTGTGCCATGTGCTAAGGGAAATTCACAGTCTGGGAGCCTCCGTCTGGTAGGGACAGGAATAAACCAACTACATGGTGAAGAGGAAGAAACCGTGACATCTCTTGGGATCCCACCTGCCTGTCTTCCTTTCCTTCCCATCTTCCTCCCCTCCTTCCACAAATGTCTGTGCCTCTAGTGTTCTGGATTCTTCTGCACACTCTGGGGAGGAAGCAGGCCCTACAGACAGAGCTCACCTTTGGTGGGGGAGGACAGAAAACAAACACATAAGCAAAAATAAATAGGGTGATGTAACAGTGACCAAGGGCTTCTGTGGCTTAGGGGGCCCTGAAGGCTCTGTGGAGTTGAGCCAGCCCAACAGAGATCCCAACATACCTACCTATACCAAGTCATTTTTTTCTTCCCGGTGACCCTGTGAAGTACTGTTGTTGTTATTATTATGGCGATAACCGAGGTTCAAAGAGGTTAAGTAACTTTCCTAAAATCACACAGTTCTTTAGCAGCAGAGGCAGGATTAGAACCCAATTCTGTCTCCAAGGTCTTTGCTCTTAACGTCTAGCCTGGAGAGAGGCTTGGAAGTAGAACAGCCCAAGCTACACACTGGGGAGTGTGGCTGGTGTGCGTGTGTGTAAGGGACGGAGACTGTGGGACCGTGGGACCCAAATATCCAGAAGACTCTTTGTGAGATGGTGCCTAAAACATGTCACTGCTGACATTTTAACAGCCCAGGTAATCCCTTTACTCTCGAGTCTTCAAGAGTTGGATTTATCTGCCAACAAAAAGATGGGCAGCTCTTCTGAAAACCTCCTCAGCCGGCTCCGATTTTTACCAGCACTGAAGTCCTTACTCATCAACAGCTGTGCTCTGGAGAGTGAGACTTTTACCGCCCTCGGTAAGAGAATTCCCCAGATCCCTGCAGGCATGTACAGTAACACATGAGTCCACATATTCCTACATAGGAATTTCATGCCAAGCCTCTGCCAGAGGCAAAGTTGTGAATTACTAATTTGTCTTCTTCTCAGGAAATGTGCTTTCTTAAAAGTGGCTTTTGGGGGGCCAGATGAATGATTCTGGCTGGCATTTGCAAATTTAACATTTAAAATCTAAAGTGTATGTAGCCGACTCTGGAGGCCATATCCATGGTAACTTGGGATTTCACCGAGGTGCCAATATAAACTGGATTGCTGGGAGTCTGATGGGAAAAGTGAGGCAATTGCTAGTGTGTGAGCCTAGTTGACTGCCCAGCACCCACTTTCCAGCAGGATTTGTTGTCCTTTCTAGGAACCTGGGCCTGCTGGAAGGTCACAGACACAGTCCAGCTTAGATCAAGGGCCTACAGAATCTGGAATGTGCCTCTTCCGGGGCAAGAACATCGTCTGCAAGTAGAGGGAGATATTTTGAGGCAAAGGCACTTTGCATTATTTTGCAGAATCTGCCACCCAGGCAAAGAACTTTGGGCACACATTGCTGGATGGGGGTCCCCAACGCCACCTTTAGGTTCAGTGATTCGCTAGGAGGACTCACAGGTCTCAGCATAGAGTCGGACTCACTGTTGGGATTTATTACAACAAAAGGGTACAAAGCAAAATCAGCGAAGGGAACAGGGCGTGGCACAAAGTTTAGAGGAAACCAAGTACAAGCTTCCAAGAGACCTCCACCTGTGGAGTAACATGGGACACACTTCCTTCTCCCAGCGACTTCTGACAACACGTGTGAAATGATGCCTTCCGGGGAAGCTCACCTGAACCTTCCATCTGGGGCTTTTACTGGGTGGTGGTCACATAGGCACCCTCTACCAAAATTCCAGAGCATAGAAGGAAACCTGGTGTTCCACATAAGTCATGGAATTTGTAGACACACAGGGGAGGCACAGTGAGCCACTCTTATTAGGTAAGGAATGGCTGGAACAGAGCCAAACTGCAAGTGCTCAGATGCCAGCCAGCCTTGCCAGGAAGTCTTTAGGGGGTCGCAGCCTCAGGCCTGGCAGGTTAGCTCTCGTTTTGCACACATACACAGACTAGAGAGCTTGCATTCCGGGGCTTCCTGGATAAAGATGAAAACAGAGTCCTTCTCTCTGACCCTCAAGTATTGTTTGTCAGTTGACACTTCTAGAAAAATGAATTGTACCATGGACCAAACATGGATTATTATTAATGAAATAGGCATATTCTAGTAATAAAATAAGCTATTTATTGATATCTATTAACAGAAATGAATGCATATAACTCACCCCAAATTCTAAGACCTTTATATTTAAGGCACTCTTGCCTCCCTTTCAGCCCAAGTATTTTGTTCAACCCACATAGACTTGGTCTTTGCTGTGAACTGCGCCCACGCCTCTCCCAGCATTGCTCATCTCCTTGTCCCCATGTCTGGTTGGGGAAAATAGCAAGATATGTACCTTTCAGATCTGGAGTTCTCAACCTGGGTCAGAGAGTCAGTCTAGAGTTGTGCCCTGGGGGAGGGGACTGTGAACTCCCGGAAATTGATTGTAATTATTTTGTGGGGGACATATGTGGTACATTTTCTGGCTCCAAAGCACCTAGAATCAGGCTGCCTAAAATCAAATCCTGGCCCTGGCTCTTGTGACCTGAGATAGTTAACATCTCCGTGCTTCAGTCTCCTTGTCTGTAAAATGTAAAATGGAATAATAGTACATACTTCATGGGGTTGTAAGAAATAAATGTGTTGATACATGTAAAGTTCTTGAAAAGGTACCCGGCACATAGTAAATGCTCAGTGAATGTTAGTTGTTAATATTATTATGGGGAGGGAATCTATAAATTTCATTTACCAAGTAATTTGGATCTTATCACTCCCCAGTTTAAAAAGACACCAGAGGCTCATAGCACCTCTGGTAAAATCCACATTCCTTCATGGGGTCTAAAAGGCCCAGGTAATCTGGCCCTAGTACCTCTTGGCCACTCTCCCTCTTGCTCCCTGAACAAGCCTCGGCTGGCTTCTTTCCATTCCTTCCTGTCACTGAGCAATCCCTTGTCTCCAGGCCTTCCTGTTCTCTGGATGGAATGCCCCTCGCCCGCACCTGCCTCCTGTTCTTTCCTGGGGAGATCTGACTTCAGGTCTCAGCATAAAGGCTCCCTGTGAGGACAGCATCTCTGATCTAAATGAGGAGGCCCTGTATCTTTTTTATAGCCTTTATTAGAATTTCTAATTATCTATTTATTTGTGTGTTTTTCTCAGTGTATGTATTTCCCACAGTTTATAACCTCCTTGAAGGCAGAGATTGTTTTTATTCTTCACTGCATACCCTAACCCCATTTTAGGTATTTCTGAATATTAGTTAAGCAAGTAAACAAACTAACTTTTCAAAGCGGTCTGTAATCCCCAAAATGGTTAGGTAAACACACATATACACATCACACACACACACGACACATTACACTGTTTAGACTAATGTTCAGTTAGGAAAGTTCCACAAAAAATAAATTTAGGGACAACATGATGTCCCTAGTTGGAAAAAGTTGGATATTTTTTAAAGAAAATTTTGTTTTTAATTTTGTGTCTTTTGCCATCAGAAGATAGAGCTCTTCCCAATTATTGCTGCATAATGAATCATAATCAAGTAGATATTACATTAAATTATATAATCTGAAATAAATGTATCATTCAATTTGAATTAAGAAGTAAATCAAGCAGGGGCACCTGGGTGGCTCAGCTGGTTAAGTGTCTGACGCTTGATTTTGGCTCAGGTCATAATCTCAGGGTCATGAGATCAAGCCCCACATGGAGCCTGCTTAAGATTCTCTCTCTCTTGCCCTCTGCCCTTCTCCCCCCACCCCCCCCAACACTCTCATGCTCTCTCTCCCCTCCCCTCCAAAAAAAGAAGTTAGTCAAGTAAACATATAATTCTCCATATCACTTTTAGAAGAAAAAGTTCCATTTCTTATTGGTAGGTCTCTGCACCATGCAGGTGGGAGGAATTTTCTTAATAGATATCATAAAAGGATATATATTTGCCGCTTGGACACCTGCTATTCTTTAGAAAGAAGAGTGGAGTTAAAGTATAATTAACTATATCTTAGGAATAAGTTGTTAGGGTTAATTTCAGCATTAGGGGCAACTGAGAATTAAGCAGAACCTTTTAAACCTCATTTAAAAATCTCTCCAAAATCCACTAGTTCTCTTCCTTGTTTCTATAACTGCAGGTAAGTCGACACAAACACATTTGGGTGTTTCAGAGTCCTGAGGAGGCTTGGCCCCATCTCTGAACTTCAGCCGTGACTGAACACAGGAATATATAAAACCAGGACATGCTCTGGAAATCTCAACTAGCTGTCCAAATCCTCTGCCTCTTTCTCCTTCCTAGAAGGGAACTAAAGGAGAAAAATCCCAATTGATAATGAATTCCACTTAATCAAGTTTTACTTTTCTAAAGTTTCCAACATTTCTCCCAATTAAAACTAGACAGTGTAAGTTGTGGTCATGAATTTCGGGCAAAAGAAAATAGTCTCTGTAACTTTCTTATCTCAGTTATATTAATATGTTGCCCCAGGTTCCTCAGTTTCAAAGAGGGAAACCTAACGATTGCTCTTCTGTTACCAATTTTAGCTGAAGCCTCCACTTACCTCCCTGCTCTGGAAATATTCGACCTTTCTTGGAATAAATGTGTTGGTGGCAACCTGAAGCTGCTTCTGGAAACACTGAAGTTTTTAGGGTCCCTTCGAGTGCTGAGACTGAGCAGCTGTGGCCTGGTGACAGAGGACGTCGCTCTCCTGGGTTGGTATCTACTGGTCCCAAAGCAGTCCCGGCCCGCGCAGCGCAGTGTGCCTCTGCCGCAGTGGAAGGGCGGGCGGGGAGCTGGGCCAGGCCTGTGGCTGAGCCCTCTGCGCAGCTTCCCTTCTTTCTCTCCGACATCTGCTTAGGAGAGAGCCGGCGAAAACGAAGAAGGGCAATCCCCAAGCCAGGAAGGCAGTGGAGGGCATTTCACAAAGGGAGAGATGAGCATAGCCGTGGCAGTGGGTCGTTCCAGCTTCTGTTCCTTGCCTTCCAGGTACAGGGGAAGGATCCTGTTCCCCGGCCAGCCCAGTGTTACTCAAACTTGGGTTACCTACAGTCTGCTTTCACAAAGTTTGCCCTGTCCACGTGGTACCCACACCGTTACTTAATTTTTTCTTTATATTGACTCTTTAACCTAAATGTTTTTATTTAAACAGGAAACTCATCATCACCATAACTGAAATCTAGGAATCACTTCTCATAGACAGACATTATTAGACTGTTGCCAGCTGAAGGCTTTGAATAGAGGTTCATTCTCTCTCTGTTACAAAAAGGGGAAGAGAGGGCTTTAAAAGCATACTAGCATCAATCTGACCCTTTCTCCATGTCAATTTAGAAAGGTGGAAAGAGATTTGAATAAGGAATAACTTTTGCACTGCAGGATTCCAGAGTATATAATACCTTTCCCAAATATCCCCTAAAATCACCTCTATTATGTCCACTTCTCATTGGCAAACAGTGAATTGGAGAGTACGTCTGTGTCTCTCATCTACCCTCGTGCCTATGTCCCCAGCACTACGCAGCCATCTACTCCCAGACCTCTGAAGCAATGAGCACCCCTCCAAAAAATTTTTCGTGAATAACAAGTATTACTATGTGTGGTTAGCCATTGCCACTTTTATATTGCTTGGGTTATTTTAACAAGCATTCTTTAAGAATTACTTAATCACTTGTAGCTTTTTTTCTTTTAAAATTAACAACACTTTCTCAGAGTAAACTACAAAAGTATTTCCATAACCTATGATCCTACTACTCAGATTTTAAAAATATATAATAAGTATAAAACAGTGAAATATAATAATTAGGATACTCACACGATTGGAAAATTCAAACAGTACAGAAAAGTTAAAACAATGTCTGGGATTTGTTTTAAAATACAGTAATATCATCTCAAAAATCATATAATCATCTCAGGACACGCAGAAAAAGCATTTGACAAGATTCAACATCGATTTGTGATAAAAACTCTCAACAAAGTGGGATTAGAGGGAACATACCTCAAAATAATAAAGTCACATACGTCAAACCTACAGCTCACATCATACTCAATGGTGAAAAATGGAGAGACTTTTCCTCTAAGGTCTGGAACAAGAGAAGGATGTTTACTATTGCCACTTTTATTCAGCAAAGTACTGGAAGTCCTAGCCACAGCAGTCAGACAGGAAATAAAAGGCATCCAAATTGGTAAGGAAGAAGTAAAACTTTTACTATTTGCAGATGACTTAGTACTATATCTAGAAAACCTAAAGTCTCCACCAAAAACTATTAGAACTGATAAATGAATTCAGTAAAGCTGCAGGATACAAAATCAACATACAGAATTCTGTTGCATTTTTATACACTAATAATAAAGCAGCAGAAAGAGAAATTTAAGAAAATAATCCCATTTAAAATTACACCAAAAATAATAAAATACCTAGGAATAACTTAACCAAGGAAGTGAAAGGCCTGTACTCGAAAACTATAGAACACTGATGGAAGAAATTGAAGATGACACAAACAAATGGAAAGATATTCCATGCTCATGGGCTGGGAGAACAAATATTGTTAAAATGTCCATACTGCCCAAAGCAATCTACAAATTTAATGCAATCCCTATCAAATTTCAACAGCATTTTTCACAGAACTAGAACAAATAATCCCGAAATTTGTATGGAACCACAGAAGATCCCAAATGGCCAAAACAATCAAGAAAAAGAACAAAATTGGAGTTATCACAATCCCAGATGTCAAGATATACTACAAAGTTGTAGTAATCGAAACAGTGTGGTACTGGCACAAAAACAGACACGTAGATCAATAGAACAAAGACCGAAGGAAAAAAATCTATGCATATGTGGTCGAGTAATCTATGACAAAGGAGGCAAGAATATACAATGGGGGAAAAGACAGTCTCTTCAACAACTGGTGCTGGCAAAACTAAATAGCTACATGCAGAAGAATGGAACTGGATCACTTTCTTACACCACACACAAAAACTCAAAATGGATTAGAGGCCTAATCTGAGACCTACAACCATAAAACTCTTGGAAGAAAACATAGGCAGTGATCTCTTTGACACTGGCCTTAGCAACACTTTTGTAGATGTCTCCTAGGGCAAGGGAAACAAAAGCAAAATTAAACTATTGGGACTACACAAAATAAAAAGCTTTTGAACAATGAAGGAAACCATCAAAAAACATGAAAAGGCAACTTACTGAATGGGAGAAAATACTTGCAAGTGATATATTTAATAAGGCGTTAATATCCAAAATATATAAAGAATTTATACAATTCAACACCAAAAAAACAAAAACAAAAACAAAAACAAATAATCCAATTTAAAAATAGGGAAAGGAACTGAAGAGACATTTTCCCAAAGAAGACATATAGATGGCCAACAGACACATGAAAAGATTCTCAACATCACTAATCATCAGGGGAATGCAAATCAAAATCACAATGAGAGAGCGGCTGGCTGGCTCAGTCGGTAGAGCATGTGACTCTTGATCTTAGGCTTGTATGTTTGAGCACCACATTGGGTGTAGAGAATACTTAAAAATAAAATCTTTAAAAAAAAAACCCACAACACTATGAAGTATCACCTTCAGAATGGCTAAAATAAAAAAGATAAGAAACAAGTCTTGGAGAAGATGTGGAGAGAAAGTAACCCTCATGCACTGTTGGTGGAAGTGTAAATTGGTGCAGCCATTCTGGAAAACCATATGGAGGCTCCTCAAAAAATTAAAAATAGAAATAGCAAATGATCCAGTAATCCTACCACTGGGTACTTACCCAAAGAAAACAAAAACACTAATTTGGAAAGATATATGCACCCCTATGTTTATACCAGCATTATTTACAATATTCAAGATATGGAAGCAACCTAAGTATCCACAGATAGATGAATGGGTAGAGAAGAGTGGTACACACACACACATGAATATTACTCAGACATAAAAAAGAATGAGATCCTTTTTTTAAGATACACACATTTTATTTATTTATTTTTAAAGTAAGCTTTATGCCTAACATGGGGCTTAAAGTCATGACCCAATGATGGGATCATTGACTCAACAATCTTGAACTTTTGTAGAGTCACATGCTCTATAGACTGAGCCAGCCAGGTGCCCCAAGAATGAGATCCTGCCATTTGTGACAAAGTGGTTGGGCCTAGAGGGTATAATCCTAAGTGAAATAAGTCAGAGAAAGACAAATACTATATGATTTCATATATATGTGGAATCTAAAATACAAAAAAACAAGACAAAAAATGGACTCTTTTTTTAAATTTTTTTTAATTTTTATTTTTTTAAAGATTTTATTTATTTGAGAGAGAGAGAATGAGAGAGCACATGAGAGGGGGGAGGGTCAGAGGGAGAAGCGGGCTCCCCGCCGAGCAGGGAGCCCAATGCGGAACTCGATCCCGGGACTCCAGGATCATGACCTGAGCCGAAGGCAGTCGCTTAACCAACCGAGCCACCCAGGCGCCCCCAAAAATGGACTCTTAAATGCAGAGAACAAACTTATAGTTACCAGAGGGGAGGTGGTTGGGGATGGGTGAAATAGATAAAGGGAACTAAGTCATACAAAAATAAGTCATGCAGATGAAAAGTATAGAGAATACAGTCAATAATATTGTAGGATAAATAAAAATAAAATACAGTCATATCTCAGAGATATTGTGGGTTTGGTTCCAGACTACCACAATAAAGCAAATATTGCAAAAAGGCAAGTCAAGTATATTTTCTGGTTTCCCAGTACATACAAAAGTTATGTGTACACTATACTGTGGTCTATTAAGCGTGCAGTTCATTATGTCTAAAAAAATGTACATACCTTAGTTCAAAAATACTTTATTGTGGGGTGCCTGGGTGGCTCAGTCAGTTTAGCATCTGATTCTTGATCTCAGCTCAGGTCATGATCTCAGGATTGTGAGATCGAACCCCACTGGGCATGGAGCCTGCTTAGGATTCTCTCTCTCCCCTTCCCTCTGACCCTACTCCCCCTAAAAAAAAAAAAAAAAAAATTCTTGCTAAAAAGTGCTAACCAACATCTGAGCTTTCAGCAAATCCTAATCACAGATCATCATAACAAATAAGGAAAAAGTTTGAAATATTGTGAGAATTACCAAAATGTGACACAGAGACACAAAGTGAGCAAATGCTGTTGGAAAAATAATGCTTGACGCAGTGTTGCCACAAAACTTCAATTTGTTAATTTAATAAAAGCAACATCTGTGAAGCACAGGAAAGCAAAGTACAATAAAATGAGGAATGCCTGTACTAAAAAAAAAAAAGTAGAAAGGAGGGAAATAGGTGGAACAGATTGGTGCAATGAAGGTAAGTGTTGAAGCTGAGTGATGGGGACATGGGAGTTTATGCTCCTATTCTGTCTGCTTTTTGTACCCTTGCAAATTTCCATAGTAGAAAAAATTGTAAAAAGGAAAAGCATGTACATTGTCTTTAACAGTTAGGTCTTGAGAACATGGTGAGTAATATTGCAGAGAGAGGAAGAGACACACATCAACACGGACACCTACGAATGGAGTGCAGCTCTTGAGTGTACAGAATGCTAAGCTTTCGAATGCACCAAACTGTGGGCAAAGGAAAGCAATGGGGATGGAGCATGCTGCTTGCTCTGGGAGCCAGGACACATGAAGAATGACTGAAGGATTCAGGGCACATTTAATCCTAAAGGGAGAGAACTTGAGGAAACGGACTGTCGTCTAACATTCCAAGGCTGGTGTGAGGAAGGAGCTGAAGTGTTCAGCAGGCTGTGGGGTAATCAGTGAACGTCACTGGAAGGCAGAAAGGGACCCAAAGGATGGGGGCTTTCTCCTGCTGAGAGCCACCTCATTCTGTCAGGGCAACAGGAAAGGGTGCCTCAGGCAGGAGCTGGCTGGTGACCAGTAGAGAAGCTGTGAAAGAGTCATCTCTGATCATTGATCTGGAGGTTGAATGAGGAGACCTCCAGGGTCCCTGCCAACTCTGAGATCCCATGCTACTCATCTGATCTCTGTGGTCCATCACTGCATTTGGCTGGCAAGGGAAGCACGCGCTGCTTGCTTTGGGTAGCTCTCCTATATCCTCTTACAAGCGTTACTATCTTTTCTTAGCTTCATCACTATTATTTATTAAGTGCCATTTTAGGTAGTACTGTGATATGTGCTCTTCAAAGGGAAAATTGTTCTGTGAATTGGAGGTCCCTAAGGTGACTTAGAAATTACCCACGTGTTGGGGTGCCTGGGTGGCTCAGTCGGTTAAATGTCTGCCTTCGGCTCAGGTCATAATCTCAGGATCCTGGGATTGAGTCCCATGTCGGGCTCCCTGCTCAGCGAGGAGCCTGCTTCTCCCCCTGCCCCTCCCTCTGCTTGTGCTCTCGCTCTCAAATAAATAAAATAAAATAAAAAAGAAATTACCCATGTGTATTTTGCACGTGAAAAGTGCTCAGTTAATTACTTGTTGAATGAAGAATGACTGAATGAGCAGTGAACAATTAAACAGTATTAAACAGCAAGATGACTATTTATAAATGGTCCTCAGTTAAAGCCAGAGAGCCATCACTCCTCACATTTAACTGGAGAGAGTCTGCAGGAAGAGCTGGGACTCTAGTGGAGCCAAGAGCAAAAAAGATATTCTTTGGGTTGGGATTTGGAAAGAGAAAAAAAAAACAATTTTCAAGCTGTACCTGGGATGTGCAGAGAACAGATTTGGTACTAAAGTGATTTCGGATGTCCTGAATAAAGCTGCTCGCTAATAACAAATCATTACTAAGCACCAATCTTGTCATTTCTAATCTTGGAATGACTGTGTTATTGGAAGTGGCAAACAGCCACAGGAGAAAGTATTCTTGTATTTTAGCATTTAGTGTGATTTTATTTTTCAGCTTCCGTAATACACACAGGTCACCTGGCCAAGCTACGGGAGCTCGACCTGAGTTATAATGACAGCATCTGTGATGCAGGATGGGCCATCTTCTGCCAAAATGTGCGGTTCCTCAAAGAGTTGACCGAGCTGGATATTAGCCTTCGGCCATCAACTTCTCGGGATTGCGGACAATGGTTTAGACACTTGTTATGTGCTGTCGCCAAACTTTCCGAGATCACGGAGATAGGAATGAAAAGATGGATCCTCCCCACTTCACAGGAGGAAGAACTAGAACATTTTCACCAAGGTCACAGATGCAACATTCACTTTGACCTTGGTGAGTTTCAGTAAGCTGATTTCCCAAGGCTTAACTAAGCTATAAACCATTATCTGGAGGAGGAAAAGAGCATGAGTGAAACTTAGTGTAATCAAAGGAGTATCAGCTTCTGGGATGTTTAATGGGATTGATGTTACAAAAGTTTTGTAAATACGTATATGGTAATCTAATATAAGTACAACTTTACTTTCTAATGACACGTATGACATGTTTCCATGAAGTTTCATTTATTTTGGATATATAGTTCACTTACTGTTTAGAAGACCTGCCAAAAATGTTTAGATTCTGGTAACACATTTCCTTTTTTCTTTTTTTTTTTTTTAAGATTTTATTTATTTATTTGAGAGAGAGAGCACATGAGAGGGGGGAGGGTCAGAGGCAGAAGCAGGCTCGCTGCCGAGCAGGGAGCCCGATGCGGGACTCGATCCAGGGACTCCAGGATCATGACCTGAGCCGAAGGCAGTCACTTAACCAACTGAGCCACCCAGGCGCCCCTCCTTTTTTCTTGACCTGGAATTTTCTGTCTCTTCTTTTCCTACATGATAAATGTTCTAAATATAAGCATGCGTGAATGTGTGTATGTGTGAGTGTGTGTGTGAAATTCTACTGTGAAAGGCACTAGCTATGATAGTTTCATGTTATCTTTACTATTACATGTGTCTTCATGTAATCTACTTGCATTTTTGTCAGAAAGTATACCCTTCCATGGTTTATTATTTTATGTTCTGGTGCTTTTTATCTCAGATATAAACCATGAACGCTAATAATGGTCACAGACATATAAATCTTAGTTAAAAGTGGTCAAAACTTCGAAACCCAGTATCAAAAACACATCTTATTAAAACAAAGTAAAATCTTCTAGTGCTAAAATAAAATAACATTAGCTCTGGGCATTTTTTGGCATGGAATATTCTATGTAAAATCTATTTAATTCATTGATTAAAGTTTTTGTCTTGTTCTAAGTGATTTTTGAAATTTCTGGTTATCTTTTGCAGGAGCGTGAAACTCATTACACAGCAGAAGTGTTTGTTTGCTCACACATTTCTATTCTGATACACTCTAAGCAAATTATGCTTGGTTTCTTATCGTTACACTGGTAATTTATATTGCAATTACTGCTTGAAAGACATGTAGAATTTGAAATCAATATTACTCCAAAAGAAAGTCATCAGGATGGGGAGATTTTGGGTGGTGTAGATGGGGATGTTTTAGGCAATCGTGGTATTCTTCATTCTCTGGGCATTCCCATGAATTCCATGAGGACCTCTGCTCATGTGTTTCCATGAATATATGCAAAGCCTATGAACAACTAGCCAAAAACTGGGAACAGTCCAATATTCTTCAATGGGTGGATGGTTAAACAAATTATGGTACTAGGTGATATTACTCAGCAACAAATTGATCCGTGCAACAATGTGGATGGACTTTGAGTTATGTGGAATAAAAAAGCCAATCCCCAAAGGTTACACATTATGTGATTCCATTTACATGACATCCTTGAAACAACAAAATTATAGAGCTGGAGAAAAGTTTAGGGATCGGGAGATGGGGTGGACAGTAGGTGTGACTAAAAGGAATAGCACCAGGGAGATTTGTGGTGATGGCTACATAAAGCTTACATGTGACAAAACCTCACTGAACTACACACACATACACACGCACACACGTAAGTGCACCTACAACCCATAGAATCCGAATAAGCTCGGTTGATGGGCAGATATAATATAATCTCTGGTTTTGGTATAAAACCAGATATATATATATAAATATAATTTATATATATATATAAATTCTCTGGTTTTGGTATTGTATTAGAGTTATGCAAGATGTCCACACTGAGGGAGGGTGAAGGGTGCACGGACCTCCCTGTCCATTTTCTTTGGAACTTCCTATGAGTATTTCAAAATTAAAAGTTTTAGGGGTGCCTGGCTGGCTCAGTCCAAAACGCATACAACTCTTGATCTCGGGGTCATGAGTTGGAGCCCCACATTGGGGGTAGAGATTACTTAAATAAAGAAACTTTAAAAAAAGTTTTAAAGTAGACAGGATAGTACAATGAACCTCCATTTACCTATCACATGCATCTACAATTATCAACTTATGGCCAATCCTGTTTCATTGGGATCTCCCACACTTACTTCTCCCTGATACTTTTCTGCTGCAGTTCCCAGGCATCAAATCATTTTATCTATAAATATTTCAATAAAGTGAGAACCTTTATTTTTATACATAATCATGATTCTATGAATAATTTTAGTGTGATAAGCATCTAATTCCTACATATTTTGCTTTCTTAATCCGACAGGGTTCATTACCTCAATTCATTATAGAATTATTTCCTATTTTTCTTTGCAGTTTTTTCTTTTACATCCTTTTTTCCTTTCTTATCTTTTGGAGAATTCTTTCCCTTCTTTAGCAATTTTTGCAGTTCTTCAAATCTCCCCAATCCTTTCTGGACCATTATTCCACGCCACCATGCCTGAATCTGAAAACAAGATAAACCCAAACAGCATTAGCTGGTATCACTTAGGACTGGGGAAGGTTATCTCTTCATTCTGGTATGTAGTTTTAAAGATGTGAAGAATGGAATATCATTAGAACTCTACACCGTATTTTCTCTCTCAATTGGCCAGTCATCCTGGCAAATGTAAAAAATAAAAATAAAAATAAATCAGTGCTTTTACGTCCCAGGCACTGCTGTAGACATTTAGGGAACAGCAGTTAAATGCCAACGTCCCAGACCTCACATTGCAGCGAGAAGAGACAAACACAGGGATGTACGATTTGATAGATGGTAGTAAATGCCACAGAGACAACAGTGCACACTAAGGGGAATCAGGAGGGCCTGCATCTGCCCTCCCTCTCATCACTGGACTGCTGGGCTTCTACCTACAGCCAGCCCCCACTCCTTCCGAGATCCTATTCCCTCCCACCTACTCAGAAACATCCCTGCCCTAGTGCTAGGCTCTGAACCTCCCCACTTCTCTCCAAATAAAAGCTCAAGTCCTTACAATGGGCTTACAAGGCCCTATCTGATCTGCTCACTTCCTCTTGACCGCACGGACCTCTTTGCTCCTTCGCTCACTCTGCTCCAGCTGTGCGGGCCTGCTCACAGTCGGACACACCAAGCACAACCCCAGCTCCAGGCCTTTGCTTTTGCCGCTGCGTCTGCCTGGAATGCTCTTCCCAATATTCAGATGGTTTACCTTCCAGTTCTTCAAGTATTTGCTTAGTTGGCACGGCTGTGGACTGAACTGTCTCCCCTCATCCCCAACTCATATTAAAAGCCCTAACTCCCAGTGTGATTGTCTTTGGAGATGGGCCCTTGGGAGGTAATTAGGCTTGGATGTGCTCACGAAGGTAGGGTCTTCATGATGGGATTAGTGCTCTTATAAGAGACCCCAGACAACTTACTCTCCTCTCTATCTTGTGAGGGCACAGCAAGAAGACAGCCACATGCGAGGCAGAAAGAGAGCTCTCACCAGAGACCGACCATGCTGGCACCCTAATCCTGGACCTCTTGTCTCTAGCACTGTGAGAAAATTTCTGTTGTTTGAGCCACCCAGTCTATGGTATAGTGTTATGGAAGCCAGAGCTGACTAAGCCAGTCATTTTTCCAATGAGGCCAACCTGACCATCTCATTTAAGTCGAACCCCCCAACCCCCCCAACACACACACACACACACACACACACACACACACGACTCCTGGGCATCTCAGTTCCCCTTAGCTTGACCTTTTTTCCAATGCCACTTATCACTTTCTAACAGACTATATAATTTTATGTTTTATATTTCATGTTTTTATTTCCATCATACTAGACTTTAAGCAATATGAGGATAGAAAAATTTGTTTTGTTCACTGATGTACTTCTAGTGCCTACAGCAGTGCCTGGCACATAGCAGAAGCTCAGTAAGGATTTGCTGAATGAATGAACAAATGAATGAATGAGGTGGGTGGGGGATGCTGTTTTATATAACGTGGATCAAGGGCAGGTATGAGGATATTTGAGCGGGGACTGAACTAGGTGAGGGCTGGAGTCTTGTCCATATCCGGGGGAAGCGTCTTTGGGCAGAGGGAGGAGCAGGCTTGGACTTTGGGAAAACACCAAGGACCCGTTTGTGACATGAAAATGGGATGGAGGAGATGGGGAGTGAGAGCAGCCACACAGGAGTTCGGGTGGTGCTTTTCCAGGGGAACAGTACCGCCCCCTAGAGGCATTCTAGACTTTCGGGGCTTTTTGTTGTCTTGAGGTTTAGCGGTCTTCAATTGTGGGACGTGCGCCCTAGTGCAGACTTTCCCAGGGTGTGCGTGCTTGCATAGTTTGGAGGCAATCCATTTCCAGAGCTTCAGCTTCCACATGCACCCCTTGCTACAATGTATCTGCCGAGGAACACAACTGCTGGTTCTCCGTTCCCGCCTCTGCTTCACGACTGACCCTCTGGCACACCTCTCAGCCACCTGAATCTGACTCCAGTGTGTTGCCCTAGGCTCCAAAACCCTCTGGGACACCGCAAATACAATACAAAATAGTAGTATCGAAAAAATAAGACGAACAAACAACAACAACATAAAACAGACTCTTAAATACAGAGAACTGTTGGTTGCGGGGCGGGGGGGTGGGTAGTTGGGTGGTGGGATGAGTAGAATAGGTGAAGGAATGAAGAGGTACAAACTTCCAGTTATAAAGTAAGTAAGTCATGGAGATGAAAAGTACATCATAAGGGAACATAGTCAATAATATTGTAATAATGTCGTATGGTGACAGATGGGGACTACACTTGGGGTGAGCACTGTGTAGTGCATAGAATTGTCAATATGTTGTGCACCTGAAACTAACATAAAATTGTATGTCGATTATATATCAATAATAAAAGACTAGCAGTATTGATGTTGGCCCTACGGATTAGGCAACCAATTCTTTTGTAAGGCAAGTGGTTCCCAGCTCTTTGCCTTCAAGAAAATTGAAAGAAGACCAGTTGATTTGCCAGCCATGAGCCTGCTATCTGGTTTTTGGGGATATAAATCTGGAAGAAGTTCAGAGAAGTGTGAAGCATTACCATTTAAAACAAAATAATATAAGCACACACACACAAAGGCTTCTTCCATTCTTGTCAACTTATCTGTGTCAACAAGGTTTCTCAGTGCTTCATCTGTAAAATGAAAAGTAGAAATAGAACCAATGTCAACCCTAGCAATAAGTAACATTTATGCAGGGATATATAAACTATGGGGGAAAGTCTCTCATTTGTGTATGTATTTTCCCCAAGTCCTCTAGGTCAAATAATTAAATACCAAAATTTGTAATGGATTTTATAGTGGTTTGGTCAATTTTATACCACTAATAATTGTAATATGACTTAATCCAGGACATTAAAAACCCTATGGTCACAGAAAAAAATTTTAATTTTAAAACTTAACTTGTATAAATATTTGTGTTGCCTGAAAATATGAAAGGTGATCTATAAATTACTTAAAATTATACACATTAAGCTCAATTCATAGGGGAAAGTGAAATAGAAATACATGTTCAAGAAGAAAAAGAAAGGATATAAAATTTCTGCTGGGCGCCTGGGTGGCTCAGTTGGTTAGGTGACTGTCTTCGGCTCAGGTCATGATCCTGGAGTCCCTGGATCGAGTCCCGCATCGGGCTCCCTGCTCGGCAGGGAGTCTGCCTCTCCCTCTGATCCTCCCCCCTCTCATGTGCTCTCTCTCTCTCATTCTTTCTCTCAAATAAAAATAAAATAAAATCTTTAAAAAAAAAAATTTCTGCCTATGGTTGGCTCAAGTCCGGCTCGTGATATCAGCTCAGGTCACCATCTCATGGGTTGTGAGACTGAGCCCCACCCATGGGCTCCGCATTCAGCATGGAGTCTGCTTAAGCGATTCTTTCTCCCTCTTCCTCTGCCCCTCCCCCACTCAGCTACACACACACACACACACACACACACACACACACAGACTCTCTCTCTCTCTCTCTCTCTCTCTCTCTCTCTCAATCTCAAATAAATAAATCCTAAAAAAAAAATTTCTGGGCGCCTCAGTGGCTCAGTCGTTAAGCTTCTGCCTTCGGCTCAGGTCGTGATCCCAGGGTCCTGGGATCGAGCCCCACACCGGGCTCCCTGCTCGGCGGGAGGCCTGTTTCTCCCTCTCCCACTCCCCCTGCTTGTGTTCCTGCTCTCACTATCTCTCTCTGTCAAATAAATAAAATCTTAAAAAAAAGAAATTCTGCCAAAAAATAAGAGCTTGCTCAAGTATTTTATAAATTGATATGACTGACATATCAAATCATAATGGTATTTAGATTCCACTGAGTGTGTTTAAAATACTGATCTAAGAGCTCTATTTTAAGATGTCAATATTTAAAAGTCACTGAAAAGTAAATCCTTTGCAATAATTTAAACTTAGTGGCAAAAGAATTTAAATACCAATTTCAAAATGTGCAAGAGGGTACATGGTTTTTCAAAATACTTTTAGGAAGTATCCAAAAAATATTATTTTCATTCTTCCAATGTAGCCACTCTTGAGTATATACATATTAAAATAAATATTTTAATATAAATTACTTTCCTTTCTCCTTTATGTTGCAGCTGAGGCATTATTTTCATTTGTTGAAATGATGGGTTTTGGTAGGTTATATTATGTGAGTTTAATTTCAGAAGAGTAAAGAAGGTATCACATACTATTTATCATAAAAGAGAGGATATTAGGTTTGATATGGTTGAGGGCCATTGACAGAAGAGGGTCTTGCAAAGCAAAGACTCACTCTTGCTTCAGGTGAAAAAGAGAATCATGGATTTCAGTAGAGTAGTGATAAGATCCCCCCTGTATTTTAACAGCACTGGTCTGACTGCTGAGTGGAAGGTATACTGTAAGGGGAGCAGGTGTGGAAGCAGGGATACTAGTTGGAGGACTAGGGTGGTCATGAGGGGCTTGGACCACCTGCATAAAGAATATTGAATCCTGAGGGGCGCCTGGGTGGCTCAGTTGGTTAAGCAACTGCCCTCGGCTCAGATCATGATCCTGGAGTCCCGGGATCGAGTCCCACATCGGGCTCCCTGCTCAGCAGGGAGTCTGCTTCTCCCTCTGACCCTACCCCTCTCGTGTTCTCTCTCTCATTCTCTCTCTCGCTCTCAAATAAATAAATAAAATTAAAAAAAAAAAAAAAGAATATTGAATCCTGACTGAAATGGACACAGGCCTGGCCTGGACTGGCCTGTCTGGGGTATCCTATTATCTCCATGGACTAGGTGGGCAAGGAGGAGATGACAAGGTTCTTTGCTGCCCCTTCCTTTTAAGGCTCTTTGCCCTTTGATCCTATTAGTGGCAGAGCAGAACTCTGGTCTCTACAGCCTTGCTCCATAAATACTTTCATTCCTAATTTTTCAGCCTTATCTTAGTGACTTTGTGAACATAAGCTTTTCAGTCCAGTGAACAGTCCAAGAATTTTAGACTGCTTTGGGATTGGAAGTTTGGGTTTCTTTCGCCTGTATGTTGTCTTTTTAACTGACAAAGAGCTGAAGAACGAAAATGCAAAAATGCTAAGATGATGTTCAAAGACCCTCTTGCTTAATTCTGAGGTTAAGAAGGAAATAAGAGGGTCTACTCTCGATAAGGACAAGGTATAGATGTGTAAAGAGCTGCCCCAGAATAGTCTGTAATATGTTTACCCCTGGCCCTTCTCCAAAGCAACTGTGAATGTGCTAGCCAGAATTTTTGCTGATTTTACCTTTGTTGCCATTATCTTCATGTTTCTTTTTTTCTTAAAGTCCGCCCATATAGCCTGGATGCTTTCAGTACACACTTCTTTTGGGGGGTCATCCAGGGGGTTGTCCATCAGTGTCAAAACTTTTAGATTCACCAGACTATCTAAATTCTCTGGAAGACAGGTGATCAAGTTGTCTTCAAGCAGTAATTCTTTCAAAGCTGAAACAATTTGTTTTTAATGATAGATTTATCTTAAGAAGAAGCAAAGTTAGCATTCTTCAGTCCAGTGACTTTGAAATGTGTGTCTCCTGCTGTGTCATGTAATAAAAGACACAGGTTTAAGGAGGTAAACCAAGTTATCTTCCTTATAACAATTCAGAGGTGTGGGAGCCAGTGTATATAAGTATTAGAGACAGAAAAGTAGTACACACGGAAAAAATCTGACAATGTTTCAGTCCTTCAATGACCAAGGACAGGATAAAAACGGATGGTCAGGAGCATTACTAAGGAGTACTGCATGCCCACCCTCGACTCTATGGCAAAAATCACTTTTTTATTTGGTCCCACTGAAAGGTCAGCAAAAGGCTGTTAAATGGATGGACAGATTGACAGAGGTACGAATAAAGAATGGTTTAGCCTAGTGTAAAATGTTTGAGTGTTTAAATATGGATCATATATGATTCTTCATGCCAATCATACAGCTCCAAAAGTCCTCCCTTGCTGATTTCACCACTCTGGGTCAACAGTTTTCCTTTTATTCAAGTGACTTAGTGACCTCATGCAAATTTGCTGCAGGAGCCCAACTCCAAATTCTGGCATATAGTAAGTAGGCAGTAAAGTATGATTAGTGGTAAAATGACCGTGTGGATGAATGCTAATTTTCTTAGCAGGTCCTATTTACTCCTCTATTCAGTTCCAAATAGACAATCTAACTGCCTTTGTGAAGTTCTTAGCTGTCCTAATCAAGCACCTGGCCTTCCCTGTCTCACCAGTGAGGTCTGCAAGGAGGTGACGGGCTAGGGCTACGCTCTCTAAACATTGAGATTGGTCTTCAGTGAATCAAGGAAATGGGAAACGCTTCATCATGGGAAATGCTGACCTCACGCTTCACTAGGCTGAGCATCTACTAAGATCCCTCACCTTGTGCTTGGCAAATGGAATCTGGAAGTTGCTTAAGCCGGTTGTGGCGGCAGTCAAGAATTTCCAGGTTAGGCATTGATCCCAAGGAGGTGGGCAGGTACTCCAAATAGTTGTTCTCTATATACAGCTCTTTAAGACTCTGCAAAACATGACAGTAGACCATAATGATCCTTGCATTGATAAAAGAATTAAAATAACCAGAATCACCGGTGAGTTCCCATACTCTTTCAATGGGGGATACTATGCACTGGGATCAAGGGAAAAACATACTTCTTTAAAGAACCATCATCAAACATAAAATTATTTTTGGGTAAAACCATTAGACATGGTTCCCATCTATGCAGGGAAAAGAAAACATGGGAATCTAGTGTTTGTTTCACATGAACTTTATGGAAAAATAATTGTGATAATTTAACTATATATATCATTTGCTCCCTTTCAATAGCTAATTATCTGCAGCAGTTGATATAGAACTGAAATCGCATCAAGTATCAACCTAACGTTGTCCAGGTTTGAGGTAACCAAAATGTGCAGATAACAAGTTAGCTATTTTCAAATCCGCTGAGGAAAAATGTAGTGTTTGCATCTGACCCAAAGACTTCAGAGAGTGTCACATGGCCTGTCAAGGAGCCAGATGATGAGAAGGGTTCTGAACACAGGACAAAGCACTGGAGAATCAGGAACCGGACCTCTGAGTCACAGGTAAGAAGTACCCGTGCTATACATGCTGTCGCTCAGTTCCACGACTTGGGGGGCAGGGGGGGTGTCGCGGCCGTATCTACTTTATTGTTAGTAGGAGTGCAGTACCACAAACATGGAAAAAATCTCAGTTCTTCATGCATACATTGAGACGTAGGGGTATGGCTAGTTTGAATGAAGTTATCTTGTTGCTTTGCTAGGATTTAGCACAGGGCTGTGGACCCATCTCCATAGGAACCTGGGACAATGTTAAATATATCCTGATTTGCCTGCCATCAGGCAGGGAGGGAGGTCACTTTGCCCCATCCAAAATGCAGGCTCCTAGCCATGTCACCTGTATGACACTTTAACTTCAAAATAGTACAATTTTCAGGGGCCTCTTACAAAAAGGTAGAGATCGAATGGAAAGCAGAATGACTCAATTTCTGTAAATAAAACATGCCAAACCACACAGTGGAAAGGAGTATGGCATGGCATAGCCTCTTGGCTATGTTCTTTGAGGATGGATCCAGGGGCTCAGGAAAACAATGTTAGAATTACCGCTTGTTTGGGATTGGAAATCTAGTATGGATGATTCCACAGGCAGCCTACAGGGACACCATCATGTTTTCTCATTATCAGCCAACTTAAGGAATCAGTGGGCACGTACTTCTTTGCCTACTCGTTTGGAGAAGCTTACCTGTAGTTTACTAATGTGTTCTGGCAAAGAGGTGAACTTGGCTCCCTGATCTTGCCCAATGTATAATTTCTCTAAAGACTCTAAAGAAAGGATTTCTTCTGGAAATGAAAGGAACTGATTTCCCGTTAATCCAAGCATCTTCAGCTTTGAAAGTGAACCGAAGTCTGAGGGTAACTAGAAGTATTCCAAAAAGATAAGCTTCAGGTCAAGGTTATTTTAAACAGTAAGATAATAAATGGGGTTTTTAGTTTTGAGGCCAATTGATAAACATAAAGTAGAGCAATTTAGCAATTCCTACTGGTGAAAAGTTGGCACATATGTTTGCATATAGAGTATTTATATTTGTAGATCTAAAGTCTGGAGTCCCACTCTTTCCCCAAGCCTCTCTGCTCTTCACTTTTAGGCACTGCTTTAAATCGAAGCAATTTTTAACCTACGTTATTGCACATTTTTGAACTGTAGTGTAGCAAATGCTTGACAAAACCGAAAAAGTACTAACTTTTTTAGTGTAATATTGCAACTATAATATTAATAAGTTCAGTTATTGGAACTGATCAATTTAGGAGCATGACCTCTCACCCTGAAAGGCTTTAGGTCAGCAATTTAGAGACTTCAGTTGAATTTTCAGTTGGGGGTACCTGGGTGGCTTAGTTGGTTAAGTGTCTGCCTTCAGCTCAGGTCATGATCCCAGAGTCTTGGGATCCCATGTCACGCTCTCTGCTTAGTGCAGAGTCTGCTTCTCCCTCCCCCTTTGCCTCTCCCCCTGCTCCTCCTCTCTCTCTCTCTCACTCTTTCTCTCTCAAATAAATAAAATCTTAAAATCTCAGTTGGAAGAAAACAGTGAAGACTACTGTGATTTTTATCTTATCATATTCTGCTCTCCAATGAACACCAAGGCTTATGTGCCCTTTGTAGGTATTGGGTAGCCATTTCCCAGACTCCCAGACTGTTAGGCTTAGGAGGCCTTAGAAAGGTTATCTATTCTAGTCCTTTAATAGGATGGTTGAATATATTCCACAGCTAGCCATCCAGCATACATTTAAACACCACCTCCTGGAATGAAAAGCTCATTACTTGGATGGAGACCTCTAATCATCAGATTTCCTTCTTCTGTCAAGTCAAAATTTGTGTCACTATTATGTTCACCTATTGGTCTCTTTCTAGCCCTCTAGAACCATATGGAAAAATCTCATTCTTAAAATGTGTGACAGTCTCCCTATTGTTTATGTTACAGAGACACCTATTTTCTTATAGAAAAAAAAAAGCCCAGCTATATATCTCAAGAGCTTCTTAACTCACTTTGAACCACCTTCCTTTATCTGGCTTTATTCCTAACAGGGAAATCATTCCCCACAGTTGCCTGTCCTAAGCCCGGGCTTCTCCTCCACCCATTTCTCTCTTCTTCATGAGAATGGTTACAGTTCAACTCAGCCTGATCTCTCCATAAATGGGGGATAGATAAATAATTGGGGAGTAGTCAAAAGAAAGCCCCTTAGAGGGATAACATAACAGTAAGTCTCACACACCTGCAATCTTGCATAAGATATTTTTCTCCTCATTGTGTAGGGTGAGGGCTCATTTTCCTAAAAATGCTATAAAATGTGTATAGTTTTATTTATTTTTTTTAATCAGAGGAAGTCAATCTCCAGAGAAACTGATGTTTAAGCTTTTCTTCTTGGCTATTTCAAAATTCTTCATCAGGCACTTAGATCCCTTTAATACAAAGCATCTGCATCAGTGCAGTCCAAAATAATAGGAAAAGGTTTTTCAATCTAACCCCTTCATTATAATCTAGTAATGTCCCTCTTACTGCTGTTCAGTTAGCTCATAGGTTTAGCTTTTCTTTTTCAAAGCACATTGAATGTTTAAATATTTTTTTTCAGGATATTCAAGATCCAATAATTAATCCCATTACGGTCACATTAAAGTAGCAGGAATAAATCTGGAGGTAGAGAAAACCTACAGAGCATCGAATGAGGACAATCATTATGGATGCTCTAACTGAGCTTTAGTCATTTGAGGTTGAGTTGTCCCTTAACAGAAATGTACCATACAAATAAAATCCATCTAGATACACACTGAAAGTCAGCTATTTTGCATCCACCTAGGCAAGAAAAAGCTACTGGCCAGGCTCCAAAAGCCAGAAACCCATCAGGTAAGTCTTTGGGGTAGGAGAGGTAAGGAGCTGGCTTAAAAACCATGTGTCATTATACAGAGAGATGCACTGGGAAGTTACTGGAGGGATTAGTATAATAGGAAATGAGAGAAGAAGACAAAAAAACACAGAAATACCTTCATACGAACTGAAGAATAACAAGCAATGGTACATAGAGATTTTCACATTCAACATAATGATACTGAACATGTCCACATTTCAGCACGGCTTTTCTTGTGGTAAAACCTGGTATTGGATGAGGCTTATCTCTATTAATGCGCCATCTGTGTGTGATTCCCTCCTCTATTCTGATCTCTGAAAAAGTCTCACAGGAAAGGATTACGTATCATTCAAGACTCAGTAGGAATTAAGTCAATGTGTTATTCTTCCCAAGGGCACTTTATATTTTGAGCCTTTCACTCCCAGTGTAGAACTGGACAGACTTTGTCCACTGTAAAAGGAATTTCTTACCTCAATGGTGGAATAGCTGGGGGGTTGGGCAGAGGGCCTCTGATAAACCTCTGAAATCCTCCAGTGGAGATCAAGCCCTAGATTCTCTTCCTAAATCCTAAATTACCAGCAGAATGGTTACTTCCTGAAAAGCAGTTTTAAAACTATAGCGACTAGGAAAAACAACAGCACCCCCTACGAAGTTCTAAATGAAAAATTGAGTAAGAGATTAAACAAAAACAAAAACACCCCTAACAAACCTTTAAGGCCTAGGACTAGTATAAAGTATGGTGAGCACAGGAGATCCGAGTCCATGGCCAGGAAAAGCAGACCTATTATTAGATAACAGTCGTGGATTTCCAAATCTCCTGATTTCTCCCTCTACATTTGTAACAGAACTAACTGTTCTTTTTAATTTTCAAATATTAAAAATAAAGAGGGGCGCCTGGGTGGCTCAGTCGGTAAGCATCTGCCTTCGGCTCAGGTCATGATCCCAGGGTCCTGGGATCGAGCCCCGCATCGGGCTCCTTGCTCAGCGGGGAGCCTGCTTCTCCCTCTCCCACTCCCCCTGCTTGTGTTCCCTCTCTCACTGTGTCTCTCTCTATAAATCTTTAAAAAAAAATAAACACATGTGTATGCACCACCCAAACCATTTGTTAATAAACAAAATGAAATTTGTGTCAACTCTACTCAAAAAAAAGGAATTTTCAAATCAATAAAATGAAATGCTGCAGTTAAAACTGAGCTTCCCCGGTGACCCCTCCTCATTTCCTTCACTTCCTTCCTCTTCCCACAGGCAGCCACTATTAAGAATTGAGCGAGTGTTTTCCTAGTTCATATGTTTTATACTTTTATTACATATATACATATCCACAAAATAGGTGTTGTGTGTGTATGTATATAGTTTTGTGTAAGAATTTATAGTGTCAGGTTCTGCAATTTAGTGTTTTCCTTTTTAATAAATATCACAATTTTGAGGTCTATCTGCCCAGGCACACAGTGCTCTAGTTCAGTTAAATTATTGTAGGGTTTTTTAATTTTATGAATATAGCACCATCTGTTTGCTCATCGCTCTACTGACATTTGGGTTGTCTCCCACACTTCCTGACTGTCAATAGCACTATGATGAACATTTTTGCACACGCCACCCTGCACACATGGGACAGAGTTTCTTTAGGGACTGCTTTTGCGGTTCACCAGAGTGGAACATTAAGGCCTGAGGTCGTAGGTGTCAGGAAAAACCCCTGCCGTGTGAGGAACCCCCATTAGGAGGTGGTCTCGATTCAGAATACAGACTCTGGGGCCCAGGCGCTCTGGGTTGGAACAGGCTCCGGCTCGGACAGGGGTGTGGCCTCGGCAAGTCAGTTAAGCTCCCCGTGCCTCGCTTTCCCCATGTATCACTGAGGATAATAGCACCCACAACAAAATGAGGACATCAACACCAGCTCAGGGGCAGGAAAAGCCCTTGTGGAAGCACCGTGACAGCCAGGAAAGGAACCAGTACCTGCCATATCTTATTATCATCCAGCGCCAGCATTTCCAGGTTCTTCAGCGCACCGATCTCCGACGGACAGCGCTCCAGATGGTTCTGGCTGAGGTCCAGGAAGCGTAAGTTGGCCAGCCGTCGGAAGGAGCGCCGCAGCCCCCGCAGGCCGGTGTCGCGGAGGTAGAGCAGGTGCAAGGAGGGCCACTTGCAGAGGAGGCGCGGCACCTTCTCCAGGTGGTTGCCGCTCAGCCCGATCTCCGTCATCCCCGTTAGCTCGGCCAGGGTGTGCGGGATCGAGTGGAGGCGGTTGTGGGACAAATCCAGCACCGACAGTTTGCTGCAGTGGCCCAGCGACTCGGGGAGAACGGGCAGGCTGTTAGAAGCGACATAGAACTTCTGCAGCCTCGTCAGGCTCCCAACCTCTTCTGGGATGACAGTTAGTTTGTTCTCATCCAGGTCAATGATCTCCAGGTTGTAGAGAACACAGAGCTCCGCAGGAAAGACTTCAAATTGGTTTTGCTTCAGGTAGATCTCCCTCAGTTTGGTCTGGTTCACTATTTCCCTGGGCAGAGACTTCAGGCTGTTGCCGGTCAGCCCGAGCAGCTCGAGGTGGTGCAGGAGTTTGCAGATGGCGATGGGGATCTCGGCCAGGCCCGTGTGGTAGAGGCGCAGCTCGCGCAGCGTGCGCAGGCCGCTCAGGACCGGAAGGGACGAGGGCAGCAGCGGGTTGTGGCTCAGGTCCAGGCCCTCCAGGCTGCTCAGCTTGCCCAGCTCCGGGCACAGCTCGGTCAGCCTGTTCTTGTTCAGGTAGAGGATCCGGGCGTTCTTTAAATGCTCAATCCCTTGGGGGATTGCTTCAAGCTGGTTGTTTTCCAGATGCGCTTCTTCTAAGTCTTCTAATTCTAAGATCTCTGAGGGAATGGTAGTCAAGTTCTGATGAGAAACATCAATGAAAAATGTTCTACCAGAGGCCTGTTGTGGATCACCTTTCTGATGAATTCTAGATGCACGTCCTATTGACTTTATGATGTCATTTGACATTGTGTTGATGGAAAGTTCAAGTATTCAGAATCTGAAATATTGGGAAAAGAAAAAAAATCTATTTACTTGCCGTGAGATTCCATATCCTTAAGAGAGATAAAATTTAAGCTTAGTTGATTGAATCTAGGGCTTGACATTCTAACAGGGCATGAAATGTAGGTTTTTGTGTTTTGTGTTGGGAGATGAATTCAAGCATAGACTCCTCCTAACAGATTGACTTATGTGAAAAGAAAAAAGATTGTCTAATTTCAATTTTTTAAAAAATCCCTATCTTGATTCTATTTCCAGGTAGAATGGAGAAGAGAGCCAAAGATCGCTCTTACCATAAACACTGAGAGAACACTAGGAAAAAATAATATTTTAAAATATTGCATTTTTTTTCTTGAAGTCACCAGAGAGTTGTGGATGTAAAGAAGGCCGAAAGAATTAAATTCTAGAGATGGACTACTCTTTCCTAAGTAAGTAGAGACCAGTGGGCACTTTGATGCCTGGTGGCATTTTTCAACTTTGGGGACCAGCAGGAAGAGAATCCAGCCTTCCATATGCACAAGCAAAGGAACTTCTGAGACAAGGAGAAACCAGCCAAACTTTTTAAAGTCATGTATGGATTAGCATGGAAGGGCCTCAGATGCAGAGCCGGTTCTCCCCCGCTAGACTGGGGCTGACTCAGTGGCCTAGGAAAAGTTGCAGGCTAGGTGAAAGAGCAGAGAGACCTCGTGGTCTTAGATCCCTAAGCCTGGCTGGGGGTAGGGGCTTAAATCCCTAGGCAAGATAATCTGAAATTGCCTCGAATTGAAATGAACTACAGCAGCAACCTAGAAAGAAATTAAATGAGAAGTAAATCATGTCCATGGATTAGAACACTCAGTGTTAAGAGGTTAATATATTCCCCAAATTGATCTTCTGTTTCAGTACAATCTCAATCAAAATCTCAATAGGCTTTTTCTTTTTTGGTAGAACTTAACAAGCTGATTCTAAAATTTATATGAAAATGCAAAGAATGCAGAATTGCAAAAGACAATCTTGAATAATAACAAAATTGGCAGACTTGCACTACTGGATTTATAAATCTTATAAATCTAAGATGTTAATATTGTGTTACAGAAGACTAAGTCCTCGGTCATTAACACACACACACCTCAAAGCCTAACAAGGAAGGCTGAGAAGACGATGAGGCGATGGTGGCCCGGTTAATTGTAGCATCTTTGACTTGCCTTCTAGGATGGGGGCTTTCCTGCTGAAGTACTGGACCTCTCCTCCCACACAGAGCCTAGGCCCTAGATGGAGGTGATGTGCTTCGAGCCCCACACTTAATATTACTGCGCCTTGCAACACAAAGTATGTGGTCTAGATCCTCATTACTATACGTCTAGCCTCCAACAGAGTTCTGGGACAGTGTTGCTCTCTGTTATTTAGAGAAAGGAAACGACTTATCATTGATTAAATCATGTCTAGAAAAAGCTGTCTCCAACATTTCTCATTTGATCATTAGATTGGTTTAATACTGTTCAGTCCTGTGGATAAAATTTCCAATGTCCTGAATATAAACTACGGACAATGCTGAAGACTCCTAAACAATCTGTGGTGTATGGACTAAGGCCATGGTAGAAATGAAAATAGAGAACACTGGGGACACTATATGCTCTAAGCTTTACTTAATGTATGTAATCCTCACTAGAACCCTAAGCAGCAGGCACCATTATGATCTTGGTTTTACAGATACAGAAACTAACCAAAAGGGCTTTTCTCAGAACCTAGTAGGAAGTGGGAGCAGGAGCGAAGAATTTGCCTTAACCTCACAGAGGATATTAACATCATTTGTTTACAAGAAGTCTGGTTTTTATTAAAATCAGCCTTGGGTGTGAGTATTCAGGCTTGATTTTCTTTTGCGGCCTTCTGGGGACTAGCCATCTGATTAGGGTTAGCACAAGTGCATCTGGGCTTCCAGACACATAAAAGAACTTATTTCTCCTAACATTCGTCTTGTTCCATGATGAGACCGGCCTAGAATGTCTGAATGTGTGTGTACATATGTTATCTTGCCAGAATCATTTACCCCACATGTGTCTGGAACCAATTTGATGGACTCTGAAAGCTATATATATTGCATATCCATTAATGGACTTCATAAAAGGAGGTTGTAAAGTCAGATTTGCAACAGGTTGGCCAGTAATTCAGCCACAGTAAATAAGAACAGAGAAGATTGACTCCTTATTGGCTATGTTTTTCATAAGGATTGCTACCGCAACATGGTCAAATTAACTTGTTACAACCCAATATTACTGTGGAATTTCTAGGTGTAATAACTGTGGTGTCATTTCAAGGAGTCAGGGTTTGGATAGTTTAATAATTGGCCCTTTTTCGTGTAATTTTAATGCCCGAGAAAAACCATTTAGGAAAATGATCAACCTTCTCAAATTTCTATCAAGTGTTGACACTTTTGTTTCCAAGTCTGTTTACACACCAACTGGATAGGTAAGACTAGGGTCCTGAGGTTAACATGGCTCTCTCTGATAGCATAAATAACCATTTCTAGTTAAAATAATTTCAAGATTTTACTTAAAGCTTCACCTGGGAGATCTTCTCCCTCTAACACAGACAAGCCAAAAACCTCAATATACCTAGGATGGAGAACCATATAATGGTAATGGTAACACCCTTTCTTTGATAAAAATTTCTGGGAAACTAAAACCCCAGGAAAAATTTTTCGGTCTCCTCTCAAGTAATACTGAGTAATAAACTAGAGACTTGAGTGGAAAACTTTTATAAGCAAGCAACTTTAGATTTGGCAGGGGCAAGGGAGAATCTAAAGGGCTCAGCCAATAATAAAGGCAAGATGTTGTGATATAGTAATAAATATATATTTGGTCTTTGTTCCCAAGTTCCTGATACAAGAGCTTCTAAAACCTTTGGTATTTTCTGAGGAGTTGGAGAGGAGTGTCTTTTGTTATTCATAATAAGCCCCAGTCAACCACACCTGAGCCCATACTAAGGGGTCGCCCTCCTTAGGCCCCCAGATAGCCTCACGAGGGCAGCTGTTTGCCAGAGGAACCATCCATGCGATTAGAGGGGTGGAACTTGCAGCCCCACCCCACGACCTCAAGAAGGGGTCCCTGGGAGAGGGGTTGGAGGTTGAGTTAATCACCAATGGCCAGTGATTTAATCAATCGTGTCTTGGGAATGGAACCTCTATAAAAACCCTAAACAACAGGGTTGGGGGAGCTTTTGGGTTGGGGAGCACATCAAGGTGCTGTAAGGATAAAGTGCCCGGAGAAGGTGTGGAAACTCTTCGCCCTCTCCTCGTACCCTCTCTTCCCCACGTGCATCTCTTCCATTTGGCTGTTCCTGAACCATAGTTTTTAGAATACAGCGGTAATGGTAAGTAAAGTGTTTCTCTGAGTTCTGTAAACCATTAAAGCAAATTATCGAACGTCAGGAGAGAGCTGTGGGCACCCCTGATCTGTAGTCCACTGGTACCAGTGACCACCTGGGACTTGTGACTGGCATCTCAGGTGGGAAGCAGTCTTGTGGGACTGAGCCCTCAACCTGTATGGTCTGGCTAACTCTGGGTGTGTCGTGTCATAATCAAACCTTAGGACAACCACTTGGCATCTGCAGAGAACTGGAGACTGGCTTGTTTGGAAAACCCACACCGTTGGTGTCAGGTGTTCTGTAAGTAGAAACTTCTTAATTAGAACTGGGATATGGAGATGTTTGGTATGTTAAGAGAAATAGAAGGGAAAAAAGTCTATAATCTGATAATGAACTCTGAAAGTTTTGTAGAGTGGAGTCTTTCAAGCACGGGCCCAGTGACTCTGGCCTTTGGAAAACCTCAGATCAGTCACCTAAAGGTAAAAGAGGCCTTAGAGAAACATTCATTTCCCAGAATTGTTAGCCGTGTTGCACGGTGTGCCCCCATCCCCATTGTCACCAAATAATTAATCTGAAATAGCTTCTCAGGACTTGTTTTCTTTAAATAGACTCAGACAGGCATTTTACCCATTTTCAAAAATGTTTCTACCCTTTATTCCTCTACGTGTACCACCAAACTATAGATCTAGTAATTCCTAGGCAAAACTTTATTCTTTTAGAATGCGGTTTTTCAGATTATTGTCTTGCACAATGAATGAGAAGGTTTGAGGTGCTATTCTATTACTAATCACCAATACTTTCTTGTCTCGTCAGATAATAAAAATGTAAACTTTTCAGACCACTCGCTCTTTTATCCATGGGCCAAATCAGTTTTTTTAATAACACTAATTTTTCCGCCTGCATATTTAGTACCTAAACAGCACATATGCATGAACAACATGGGAAGTCAGCACTTCAGATACTTATCAGAAAATTCAACCAGGAATTTGCTCTGTTCTGACACTTGCTAGCAGCTCAGTTGAGCCTTCTGGTAGTTGGGGAAAAATAGCTAATGGGTGTGTTAAATATTAATTCTCCCAGATCCTTTGAGTTCAATCTCCATGTTAGCAAGAAACAACTTACCTAGACCTTATTATCTGTGTTTCCTCAAGACAGGAGGATCATAATTAGATCCTAATAAAGCCTCATGCTGTTGGGCTTTTTAAATAGTTACAATAAAAGAAACATTTGAAAAATATTTCTGGATTTTCTATAAAACTATAGTCAAAGACCTGTCTATTAAGATGTAGGTGTATATAAAGATACACCTACTAAACCTTCCTACAATAAGGTGCCAGAGAAATGTAAATGCTGCCTTTTATTGAAGAATGGGGATTACATACCCTCCTATATTCTCTTTGGCTCTGACTTCTAGAAAGCTGAGATTCAAGTTAGACCTCCACTCTGGGTTCTTGACACCTAAGCACCCAGCGAATCCACTTAAGTCTCCTTGAAACCAGCTCAGCAACATCTGTTTCCCCCACCACCCTACCCTCCCCCCCAGTCAGTGATTCTCAAGGGGAGGGTTTTTAAAATTACATCCCTCCTCCATCTGGAAATCATGGGGTTAATGAAAAATGTACTGATGGAAATGAATTGTACATG